GGGGATCGAACTCGGGACCTTGCACTTGCAAGGCAGGCGCCGGAACCACTGAGCTAAATCCCCGGGCCCCTAACATTTCTTTTGAAGGGCTCTACTAAGGGGGGAAAAAATTGAAGGCTACTCTGAAATTTTTTGTAAAATATGATGTCTGTTATGCATTTATGATGATTTTGAGGTCTATCTTAATAATCTGAATGAGTGAAATTGAACTCTAATCAAGGCACTTTGGTTTTCTCCTATTTAAATATCACATTTCTGTTTTCAGAGGTTGTACTAATTTTTAGCAATTGAAGAACAGGGAACTATCAAATCACTGATTGGAATTATATTTAAAATTTCCTCTAAGCTTAAAGCTTAGGGTATTTAGATTCATTCTGTCTCTCTCTCTTTTGGAAACAGGGTCTCACTATTGTTGCTCAGGCTGTTCTCAAATTAATGAGCTCGTCCTGTCTCAGCCTCCAGAGCAGCTGAGACTGTAGGTATTTACCACCTCATCTGGGCTTAGACAGTTATCTTCTTAAAAGTCATCTAGCTGGGCATGGTGGTGCATGCCTCTAATCCCAGCACTTGGAAAATCTCTAAGGCAGGAGGATCACAAGTTCAAACCCAGCTTGGGCAATTTAGCAACACCCTATCTCAAAATAAAAAATAGAAAAAGGGGTGGGAGTGTAGCTCATTGTGAATGCTCTGGGTTCAATATCCAGTATAGGAAGGAAAAAAAGTCGTCTTGTCATGGCTGAGCAGTTATTTAAGGAAGAAATCTCTGTGATAATTTAAGATGTTTAGCTCCTTAATCTTTATGATAATTTAGTGAGGTCGAGATAGTTATTTTCCCCAGTTTACAGATGAGATTGAGGCTGAGAGATTATGATTTGTTAAAGAATATACAGGTATGGGCTGGGGATTTAGCTCAGTGGCACTGCACCTGGCTCAAGAGTACAAGGTCCAGGGCCGGGGATTTAGCTCAGTGGTTCCATCGCTTGCCTTGCAAGCGCAAGGACCCGAGTTCAATCCCTGGTACCAAAAAAAAAAAAAGACTACAAGGTCCTGAGTTCGATCTCTGGCACCAAAAATAAGAATATACAGGTATAAATAGAGCTGAGACATAAAATCCAGATCTTCCAATTTGAAATCCAGTACTCCTTTCAGGTTCTGTTGTTCAGTCTGTGTTTTTGTGGTGGTGGGATGGAACCCAGAACTTTGAGCATGTTAGGCAAGTGCTGTACCAGTGAACCACACTCTCAGTACCCCAAAGTGCAGTTCTGAGTCTGCCTAGAGCTTGGGTTGAAAAGATAGTGGGAAAGTCTTCATCCTACACCACTCTCCGTTAAAAAAAGAGATCCCTGTTGCCTGCCTTGCAAGCACAAGGTCCCGAGTTTGATCCCTGGTAACAACAACAACAAAAAAGAGATCTCTATGTTACTAATTTTATATGTAAGAATTTTTTATAAGATTTTATCTGGAAAAACCACTGCGTCACACTAATAGAACTAATAGGGAATAGGTACTATTCCCATTGCTATTCCTGCATTCATTAAGGAGTAGGAAGTCCCGAGTCCTCTCTTGGTGATCCAAGGACAAGTTGATTTGGGATTTTCTTTTCCTCTAGAACAGTTGGATATTTCTGAGCCTGGTTTATTTTCTACCCATAATGTTGCATATTTCTCTGCTTTAGCTTCCAAATACAATTTTCCATTACCTGGTCAAGCATGATACAGTGTATGTATGTGTGTGTGTGTGTGTATATATATATATATATATATATATATATATTTTTTTTTTTTTTTTTTTTTTTTGTACCAGGGATCAAACTCGGGTCCCTGCACTTGCGCAGCAGGCAGCGAGACCACTGAGCTAAATCCCCAGCCCGATACAGTATAGTTTTGTTGTTTTTTTTTTGGTACCGGGGATTGAACTCAGGTCTTTGGGCTTGCGCCACAGGCAGCGAAACCACTGAGCTAAATCCCCGGCCCCCGATACAGTATAGTTTTTATAGGAACATAGCCATATTATGGACAAGGATCAAACAGGATCATTCACTTGCAGAGCAGAAATGGAGCGTGTTAGCCAATTTGAGTCCTTTGAGCTCCAGAGCTTCCCATAGTTCTTTGGAACACGGAACCATTCAGTATGCAAGGACTTGCTCCCTTCTTGATTAGAAACTTCTTATTGACCTAAATTTACCAGCAATTCAAAATATGCAGTTGATTGGTCTTATCCTTACTGTCGAGGTTATATAGGAAAGGTGAACTGCAGTTCACCCTGAGGGTGTGGTTTTGGCCTTTCAGACCAACCCCTCCCCCATACAGACTATTAATGTAGTTTAGAAGCAAAAAATGAGAACTTTAAATAGTTCTCAAAAAAATTATCTTTTGGTTGGGCACACAGTCACTTTTGCCTGTCTTTACCTTGCAAGTAAAAAACTCAGATGGTACATTTATTCGTATACACCCCTTTTCATTCTTAGTAAGAATGTGCTTTGTGGCTTGGAATGACAACACGGAGGTAGTGTCACATTGCTCTAATGTTTCTTTGACTGCAAATTCTCCTTGCATACCAGGGTCAAATATACAGAACTCTTTTCTTTTGCTGAAAAACAAGACATTGTAGAAAGAGACCATTTTCAGGGAAGGCTTGAAAGTTTCAGCTTTTCACTTGTTCCCTGAGATGTAGATTTGAAGAATTCTAACCTAGAGCAAAGACTTTGAAAGTTGTAGGGTATAGAACATAAAATAACCTTTTCAACTCAGAAGAAGTTACGTGTTGGGCCAGAGATTTAGCTCAGTGATGCTGTGCCTGCCTCACAAGCTCAAGGTCCTGAGTTCAATTCCTGTACTGGAAAAAAAAAAAGAAGAAGTTATATATCTGTTGTGGGATGTTGACACTTATACGGTCAAGCCCCCCTCAAGAGATACTACAACTCATCTTCCTTATTCAGTGGGTTTTCTCAGTTCCATTGAGGAAAGGATTTCTTATTTATCCTGTTACTTGCAGACACCCAGTAGGTTCTCTCCCAATTTATTTTCCAGAACCATTTTACAAGGTACTTTACAGAATAACAAGGGGGCTAAAGGCTTCAAGCAGATGTGTAGACATGTTACCCGTTCTTCTGGGATTAATTTTTTGCATTATACCTTTTTATTTTATTCAGCCTGCCTTGGAGTTTCATGACTGTTCAGTTCACCAGGAAGGCTCTATTAGTTATGGAACATATGCAGACTGCCCATGCCATGGAAAATATGTCTCAATCTCCAAGGGCATATGTGTGTGCTCACGTGCCTGTGTGTGTGTATGCATGTGTTTGGGAGTGAGGAATGCAATCTTCAGTGGTCAGTTTCTTTTCACTATTTCTGTTACATCTGTGCACTAGTTATTTGGGTTCTTTGCTCTCTCCCCAGGTAAAAATGCAGAGGACATTTTTGGAGAGCTCTTTACTCAGGCAAAAACCTTTGCCTCTCGGGTAAGCTCACTTGCTGAGAGGGTCGACCGACTACAAGTTAAAGTCACTCAGCTGGATCCTAAGGAAGAAGAAGGTAAGGAAGCTGAGCTCAGCATTTGCAGGCTCTGCTGAGCAGTTTCTTAGAATTTTTTCCCCTGATTTATGAAAGAGAGGAGAGAAATCACAGAGACCTATGGGGTTCTGCTTTGAAATGACACAAGTCTCAGTGGTGTAAAGAAACCTTTTTATCTCTACCATACCCCTACACACTCCCTTTCTCCCATTCCCCCAATTCCCTTGTTCTAAGACTTCCTCTCCTTCAGTCATATTTTGCTACCATAAAAGTACTTGGAAGATTCATTCTAAGGAGAGGCCTGCTAGATCTGGCCACATAGTAAACCTTTGTGTTGCCTCATTTTGTTCAGTCGTGAAATGGCTGGGCTGCTGACAGCCTTGTGGGGCTTCCCCAGAGGGGGAGGGAAAAAAAACCTGGCTGCAGACAGCCACAGCCAAGAAATGCAGCAGCTGAGGCCTCTCCGACTGGTGTGACTCAGTGTTTGCTCAAATAGCCTGTTGTCCATTTTCTAACGCCTTCCATCTTCTCTCAGTGTCACTACAAGGAATCAATACCCGAAAGGCCTTCAGAAGCTCTACCGTTCAAGACCAGAAGCTTTTTGATAGAAACTCTCTCCCAGTGCCTATCTTAGAAACCTACAGTACCTGTGATACTCCTCCTCCTCTTAATAATCTTACCCCTTACAGGTAACGCCTGGCTGGCTTCTCCTTTTTTTTGACGTGTGTTTAACAACACTAGATTGTCTAAAATGGCTAAAGATGTTGTTTACATCATATGGAATTGTATGAAATAGCTTACTACTAGCCCCAGAATTGCTTATAGCGCAGTTGGCACTGTTGTTTGGTTTCTGTAATTCATAGTGAATATAGTACATATTGAAAGTTTACTGTAACTTTGCACACTTCAGAGTTTAATTTGGGATGAGCCAGGTCCATCTGGATTCCATCCAAGCAATTTAGTTATGATGGAACCAAAAGGACTTTGTTACAAGGCAGTCCTACAGTGTGGATCCCAGGGGCAACTTTCTAGCAAGGCTCCCACTTACTTGGAAACTACTAGATTACCAGATGTTTGGGCGTGTTAGTGGGGCCAGCCCCATGGACTGGCTGCTCTGGGTCCATTCCAAAGCTTAAGGAATAATTGGCATTCTTCCAAGTGAGTGTCGTTCAGTTTGTTTTGAGTATCCTTTGTACACATTTCCATCTGCCAGGACCTACCCTGCTATGGCTGGATTTGAAAAAGAAGGTAGTCTGATAGACAACTTAAAGCCTCTCCCTGCTGGTGGTTTGGTAGTGTTGTCATCTTGCACAAAACCACTGAACAAGGGCAGAAAGTGAATATTTATCTTGCTTGTATTCATAAATAGATTTGGCACAGGTAAAAAGTAATTACAGGTAGCTGGAGGCAGATGTTGTCTGTCAGACATAGGTATACTGTAAAACAGAATGTGTGTATCTGTACACCCATGTGAAATTCAAGGACACCAGCCTAATTCAGGAGCCAGGATTAGGCACTTGGTAGTTTCTCACACAGATAACAGAGAAAGTACATGATGCCTATTCTTATTGCTGTATTGAAATTATGCTTGGCCCTTGGTGTTCGTTCATTCGTTCTTTCTTTCTTTGTTTCTTTCTTTGTTTCTTTGTTTGTTTCTTTCTTTCTTTCTTGGTACCGGGGATCGAACTTGGGTCCTTGAGCTTGCGAGGCAGGTGGCAGAACCACTGAGCTAAATCCCCGGCCTGCCCCTTGGTTTTCAAAGGAGCTAGCAAGCATAGCAGGACAAAGCTTTGACTCTGTACCATGTCCCCTTACCCACTAAAAGGGTCTCCACTGCCCCAGCTAGCAATTATTGAACTCCTGGGCCCAAGTGATCCTTCTGCCTCAGCCTCCTCAGTAGCTGGGACTACAAGCATGTGCCACCATGCTTGCCTGCCTCTTGTAATCTGTGGGTCTAGTTGAGATTGTGAGGCAAGAAGGGATCACACACCTGGTGATATTGTAGGGAATATGATACAGGGTTTGCATGACAGCCTGAACAAATGATATTGAGAATTTTATTTTTCAGGTAATGGTATTTTCCTTTTAAACATGTAATCCCAGAATTAGCATCTCCTCTCAATTATCTGGACTTGGCCTAACAGACACAAGCAGTGGTATATCTAACTCAGAACAGTATTTCATATAAAAATCATTAGTGTTTGATTTGAAAATGCATTTTCTGTATTTTGATAGAATTGGAGGACAGGGAATAGGATTGTTTCCAATTCTTTGTAGTTCAGAATAATACTAAAATAAATTTTAGAAAGCACATGCTTTCTAGACAGTGGGGAGCTTGGCCATGCCAAAGGAGAGGGTTCCAGTCAGGGTCATTAAACCTGGCAAATAGCCCTTATAGTAACACCCAGCTTACTCTGTACTGTTGTCATAGTCACTAAGAGATGGTGATTAAACATTGTGATCTTAAAAGAGCTGGTCATCTGTTAGTGTGGCCCCCTTGTGGTTGGGGTGGCAGTGGATGCTGAGCTATTGTACAAGGGAACAAGAAGGTGCAGCAGCGAGGTTATCTTTATGTAAGGAATAACAAGTGTATACATACACACATTTATGTCTTTGTGAACATGCACATGAGTGCACAGGTTATAGGTGGGTGGAAAGGCACTAACGTCCTAAAGAGTTCTGTGGAGTTGGTAGAGGAAGGAATGGCAGAAATCCCCTCTGATATGCCAGAGTATTTAGATCACCTCAGGAAGCTGTCTATGGCCATGCAGATCATATAGAAATAATCAGAATCCCTGCTGCTATTCCCTGACCATGCAAATTCCTCTATCAGGAATTGAAAGTGAGGTGAAAGTTCTTAAGAGGTAGAGCAGTGCCATTCGAGGGCATTGAGAGGCTGGTATGGGAGAGGAAATATCCCATCAATTTGAGTAACTTCTTGATACTTTGGTGTAAAAACTGCTAACTAGTAGGTGTTTGGAATATTGGATTTGGTTGGGAGCTCATCTGTGTACTGACAGCTACTTGTCTTCATTTCTATCCCAGGGATGATGGAAAAGAGGCACTCAAATTCTACACCGACCCTTCATACTTCTTTGATCTTTGGAGGGAGAAGATGCTGCAGGACACCAAGGATATCATGAAAGAGAAGAGAAAGCATAGGGTGAGGGGAAAGGGGCCTCTCTTCTACACATCAGTAGGCACGATTGTGGAGAGGGGATAAAAAGGAAGCCAGCCAGTCTTATGTGAAGTAATTCTGAGTGGCTGCTTGCATGGATGCCAGGTAAAACTCTTTAAAAATGTGTCCATACCAAGCACCACCAAGATGAAAGTATAAGTCACACCAAAAATGTGTTTGTTCCCCCTAGCGCCATTAACAGTTGAGTATATTCAGGCTGAGTTTTAGAAATTGACTTCTATTCACCATTTATTTCTCTTGCAGTTTGCACCTGACTCTGCTGGACACTTGAGCTAGGCTAGTCCCTTCCTTGCCAGTTTTGCAGCTCATTTCTTAGAGACTTGCACAAGGTTCTGTAGTTTGATTTGTAGCAGGAGCCGTTTAACACCTTCACTCCTGGTTGGGTGAGGCCAGGATGGGGGATAGTCCTGGTTTGTGGAGATGCTCCCCTCCCCTCAGACTCCTGATGCTGTGTGTTGTTTGTGTGACCTAACAGTTTTAACTATTTCCTTATATCTGTCGCATATCTACAGCTGTCATTCTTTTTCTTCTCTCTTGACTAACCTTTCTGGCATAACAAATAACTATTTACTAACTTCCTGATAATTAGAGTTGTTCAAGGACTTGAAAGGCTTACCCAAGAGGGAGTGGGTTTCCTGTTGCTAGAGATATTTGAGTGTGGGACTAAGCAAATGTTTTTCCCAGGAGGTGATTTGAATTAGATGGCTTCTTTTTTTTTTTTTTTTTGTGGTACCGGGGATCAAACTCGGGACCTTGCGCTTTTGAGGCAGGCGCTGGAACCACTGAGCTAAATCCCTGGCCCTATAAATTCTGCTATTATTGAGCATTGTCCAGGCAAGTCATCTCTTAAAAGTGCATCCATGAGATGGGTGGAATTTTAATGAAGAACTTTGGAGAATATTTTCCAAAGGCTTTTCTATTTCTTTTTATTATAGAAAGAAAAGAAAGATAACCCAAATCGAGGGAATGTAAACCCACGTAAAATCAAGACACGTAAAGAAGAGTGGGAGAAAATGAAGATGGGACAAGAATTTGTGGAATCCAAAGAAAAGCCTTCTGGGTAGGTGATGATTTTGTACCATCTCTAACATTCTTTAAAGGGGCCAACAGGGTAATAGCTCTCACATCATACCTTTTGTACCCCTTGAAGTCTGGCTATGTGGTTTAGATCAATACTGCTGTTAGTCAGCCATTTTTTAGTGCATCCATCTGGTGATTAAAATTTGCTAAATAAATCAAGAGATCCAGCAATTTAAATGATGTAACTGGAATGGTCTAGAACAGAGACTCATGGCTTCTAATGCCCATACTCTGCCAGACACTAGTAAGTTTAAGGGTCTCAGAGGGAAGAATAGAAAAGTGGCCCTAGGAGCCCTTTAGCTCCAAAGCATGAATTTGAAGATTGTACCTAAGAGCTGGGCATTTCAAGGGAGTGGGGAAAGCGAGGCAGGAAAATTGTGCACTTCCTAGAGGAACTTTTCAGTCAGCCTTTGTCAGTCTTGGGAGAGAGGCTGGCCAAGGGGCTGAATGCAGACCTCAGAGTCAGTGTGAGAAAGGTTGCTTGGCCACTGTAGAGGCTATATATCTCTGTGGGGAAATGGCAGATGTCAGTCTGACCCCATTTCCCAATACCAAATCACACTGGAGGTTTAAAGGGGGAAAATTACTTTAAAGCTTAGCTTGATGCTTTTCCTGGTGTCTGACCTGTGTGACATTCAAAGCCAAGTCACTGTGATTGCTTGGCATGAGTATCAACTGGTTTTTCTTCTAAGTACATGGTGTCCGGGCTATCAGAGAACCACAGCAGCCTGGTATCTAGGAATAACAAAAGGAAAGAGTCAAGTTGTTCTTGCTTTTAGGAATAACTCTACCATGAAAATCTTGGCTTTTAAAAATCTTGACACCTCTGACACTTGTTCTTCCTGAATTAAGAGATTTGTTTTAAAGAGTGATGAAGATGGTGAGAAAAAAAATGAACTCTTCTTTCTCCAGAGAAATCAGCCCTGAGGGTGCCTTTATTCCTTCACCTCCCAGTAAAGGGGGCCATTTTGTTCCATGGACCTATCCTCTGCAGACAGGCACTTATTGTAGGTTCAGTGGCGCTAAGGCCAGAAGCTTACATGTTCAGGATGCTGGGCATGGTGGCACATGCCTGTAATCCCAGCACTAGGGAGGCTGAGACAGGAGGATCACTGCAAATTTGAGGACAGCCTGGGTTACATAGTGAGTTCAAGACCAGCCAAACTACATAGTGAGACCCTGTCAAAAAAAAAAAAAAAAGCCAACTGTTACGTGTGCTTTTTTTTTGTAGGATAGGAGTGCTAAAAATGAGATGTTTGCCTCTCATTTTCTTGTTGTCCAGGAGGTTTGGTGTTGGGCTGCACAGCTAGTCTTATCTGGACATGCTTGTTGGTGAACCTGTCAAGAGAAGTGCCCAGCCTACTGGGCTCCATGCTTTGGGGATTTTCCACATCAGAGCACCATTTGATTCAGTTAGTTCCCTCCAACTCTCTTCTCCCTGCGATCTGTTTTTGATGAGTTCTTTAGAAACCCCAGTGGTAGAAAGAAGGTGAGGTAGAGTAAAGCTCATGTGGTGGGTGTATTTGTGCTCATATGGTGGCTTATTGCTAAGTGCATTTGTGCTTATTTGAAGTTTTGATGTTCACCCACAGCAAATTCACCCAAGGCCCAGTGCTCTGAGGGATAGGTTTTCATGAGGCAAGCCCCCAATATCCTATTTTAATTGGCAGCTCATTTTGTTTGGTAAGAGAGACCTGGCACAGAGACCACATTTACTACCACGCAGCAACCTGCATTCATCCTTAGCTTGATTTTGCAATCAAATCCCTCCTTGGCCTTTCAGCACTCCAGAGGCTTGCAGACCTCAAAATCAGGCTGTGTGCCAGTCACGTGTGCAGCTCACCAGCCTGTGGTGCTTGGCTTCACCCTTTGCACAGACAGACTTTGGGAGTCAGGTATAAAGCTGCACCTCACATCTGGGAGAGAATTTAAAAGAACTGCTGGATTTCACAAGGCAGGCACCGGAAAAGAAACAGCAGGGTTTTGATGATCTCAGTTGAATCCCATTATTACAAACAATCCGGCAGAAACGTCTGGAAGATAAGTAGAATATTTAGCCCTCAAATAAAATTTCAGTATAACAGAAAATATGTGAGGAATCTCCTTATTTTCTTTCTCATAGCTTGTGTAGCAAAAGCATTTTTGTAGTATATTTTAAGAAAAAAAGAGACTCTTTCAATGACAGCTTGGATTTGTTGGCCTTGGATTTGTTGTCAGGTACTCACCTGCCTTGGTGTACCAGAACGGCAGCATTGGCTCTGTAGAAAATGTGGATGCAGGCAGCTATCCACCTCCACCACAGGCAGACTCTGGCTCATCACCTTCTCCTTCCTTCTCTGAGGACAACTTGCCTCCCCCACCAGCAGAATTCAGGTAAATGGCAAAACCTCTTCCATCTGTCCTGGTGGTTAAACACTCAGGAACAACATAAGAGTTCAAACTGTAGACCAGGACTACTAAAATAACTTCAGGCATGTATGCCACTGTAGATAATGAAAATAGTTAACCTTTATCAAGTGTTGCAAGATGCCAGGAATTGTTCTGAATACTGTACATTACTTAATTCTCTCAGTGATACTCTTGAGATAGGTACTGTTATTATCTCCATGTTACAGATGAGTGAACTGTGAGGTACAGAGAGGTCAGTGAACTTTAAGGCCACACAGCCAGCAAGAGGCAGTCAGATTGGGCAGTCTGATTCCTAGGACTGTGTTCTTAACTGCCCTACTCTGCCTATCCCTGAACAAATAGAAGTCATCAGGGCCAGGGATTTAGCTCAGTGGTTCTGCTGCCTGCCTCAAAAGCATAAGGTCCCGAGTTCGATCCCCAGTACCAAAAAAGAAGAAGAAGTCACCAACTTTTTTGGGGGTTGTGGGTGTGTCCTGGTATTGGGAATTGAACCCAGAGCCTTTACACTGAGCTACATCCCTAACCCATTTATTTTTGTTTTTTATTTTGAGCCAAGATCTCACTAAGTCACTGAGTTGCCCAGGCTGAGCTCGAATTCATAGTCCTCCTGCCTCAGCCTTCCAGAGTTCTAGGATTACAGCCCTGTGCCACCAGGCCCAGCTCCTTACTTTTTTACTTAGCCTTAACTCAGTATGAAATGACATAGCCTTCAAACAGCAGACACTTTGTCCTGGATCCAGAACCTTGCAGATTTTCACTTCTCTCTCTCTCATTGCCTCTGGGTTAATTTCACTGCTGGGTGGACTTTTCCAAAAAGAATGAAACCAGGGGGGAGAGGGATGAAACTTAGAACCTGTCTGTTTTGATACTTATCATTGTCCCAGGCAGAGGTGTTCAGAGGATTGCCTATAATGGCTGAAAAGAGGTTGAAGAACTGTTCAGATTGCAGTGTTTTCTTGCAGTTACTCTTTTCTTTTCTGATGCCTGACAAATGAGAGCTTTGAAAGGTGCACTTTTCTCCTTGGACACTGTTTAATTAGTGACTGCATATGTTGAGGCCCCCTCAGACAGAGACCTAAAGCAGTGCTGTCCTCCGCCTCTACCCTCATTCTTCTTGGACCTTGAAACCACTAATCCCAAATCTCCTTCTGCCTCCCAAATCATTTCCTGTTGGTTGCCCTGTTAGAAGCAGCTAAGGCTTGAAGGTCTGTGGAAAATTCCAAGATGGATGCTTTTCTGAGGAATAGATGTTAGAGCAGGGCAGATGCAAAGGTGGAAGAAGAAAATCTTCAGCTTCACATGTAGCTTGAGTCTTGCAGCTGCACCTACACAAATCTGATCCCAGGAGAAGTAGAGCCTTAATCATGTCTCAAACCTGGGTCAAGAGTCAGTGGCACGTGCATTTCCTATTCTCAGCCCCTCAGATGCGTGCACCTAAATCTCTATACTACTCAGGGCTGGTCAGCTGGTTGTGGATTTTTCTGCCCTCACCAGATCTGGTGAATGTTAATTGCTTGAGAAACAGAGCCCAGTGAGTGGGTGGTATTTAAATTTTCATTCTGTTTCTTTCTTATATACATTCTTAGTCCTGTCTTCAGGCTTAAACTGGCAAGTGCCCATGGGCTAGTCCTCCAGAGAGGGGGTCAGTGCTTTTCCCTGGAGAGCTAAGGTTAGAGAAAGACCTAAGAGATGTCTCAGTTAGCCATTGCCTGATAGGAGAGTCCCAAGTTCACTTCTTCCAGGTAGTTTTCTTCCTTTTTTTTTTTTTTTTTTTTTGGTACCGGGGATTGGTCCTTGCACTTGTGCAGCAGGCGGCAAAACCACTGAGCTAAATCCCCGGCCCTCTTCTGTTTCTTGTTATACTCCTCAGCTCGTTACCTTACGAAGATACCCATTTTCTTGTTGGTCTGTTCTGACCATTCCTGGGTCTTTCTTTTTGTTTTTAGCAAAGTGAAATGCCAGTCAATCAAGAGAAGCCTAAGCTTCTAGATAAGCCTGTCTCTGGGTGGGGGTTTGCATACTGAGTGATAGTGGGTCTCTTTTTTTTCGCCTTGTAGCTACCCAGCAGACAACCAAAGAGGATCTGTTCTGGCTGCCCCCAAAAGGTCCAGTGTAGTCAGCCCGAGCCATCCACCCCCAGCGCCTCCTCTGGGCTCTCCACCAGGTCCCAAACCTGGATTTGCTTCACCACCAGCCCCGCCACCTCCACCTCCACCACCAGCCATGGCATTTGGGTCTCCAGAAACCCCTCCACCACCTTCACCCCCATCTTTTCCACCTCACCCTGATTTTGCTGCTCCTCCACCTCCTCCACCACCACCAGCAGCTGACTACCCAACTCTCCCACCACCTCCCATGTCCCAACCAGGTGGAGGAGTGCCTCCCCCGCCACCTCCTCCACCCCCTCCAGGGCCCCCACCTCTCCCCTTCAGTGGTGGGGATGGCCAGCCTGCTGTACCACCACCACCGCTTTCTGATGCCTCCAAGCCCAAGTCCTCCTTGCCTGCCGTGAGCGATGCCCGTAGCGACCTGCTTTCTGCCATCCGTCAAGGTAAATTCCAGTGTGGGTCTGGGACCATGGAGCCTTATCTTTCTGAAGCTGGGATGACTGACTGGAGGCTGGGAAGAGGGGCTCTGTGCCTTTCCCAGAGAATAGCCTTCACTGAGTGAGGAGATAGTGGAACCTTAGGCCTCTGAGAAGCCTAAAAAAGACTTTACCCTGAAAATACAGTTTGAGATTTCTTTCCACATTGGTCTAAAGTAAAGATGTCTTAACCTAAGATCTTGGAACGCCTTGAAAATTTGTGCTTTGTATTTCTTTGCATGCATTTTTCCTTATCAGATACTCAAAAGGTACCCAGAAAAAAACAAGAATCACTGTCCCAGCGGGTACTCCTTCAGCTAGACTGTCATTCTCCACTGTGCAGCCTATTGTATCCTTCCTCCTTCTGCCCTCTTTTCTCCCCACTTTCTCTTACTCCTTTTCCTTCAATTCCGTTTTCCTCTTTTCTCTTCCCTTCATTTATCCCCCTTTCCATCCCTCCCTATCACCATCTCACCTTCCTGAAGCATTTATTCTCTTTCTGACCAGGCCACGTCTGGTCCCATGGAGTTAAGAGTAGCTACTTGTGACCCTCAAGAAACTTGTGATTTAGAGGAGACAGTCCAGAGCTGCTGAACCCCAATACAGTCAGTAGACTTGGGCCGACTGAGCACTTGCTGGGTGGGTAGGTGGGTCACTCCCTGCTCAAAGCCTTGTGAGAAACTGCCATGTTCAACAGCCAGAAGAAGGGCAGGCTTCAAGCCTTTCAGGCACGTTCAACACCAGGACACCAGTTCATTAAAACCCATCTTTCCTTCTCTTCCTATAATGCCTTTTCCCTCTTGGCTTTCCTAGAGGGGCCTTCTTTTTCTCTATCCTTTCCAATCCTCTCCCAAAAGTGACCACTGCCCTTATTCAGTGTTAGGTAGATTCTTGCTCAGTGTTTAGGACATGCCTTTCTCAACCCTTCTTCTCTGCCCTCAGGCTTTCAGCTGCGCAGGGTTGAAGAGCAGCGGGAGCAAGAGAAGCACGATGTCGTGGGTAACGATGTGGCCACCATCTTGTCACGTCGCATTGCTGTTGAGTACAGCGACTCAGAAGATGACTCCTCTGAGTTTGATGAAGACGACTGGTCCGATTAACTCTGCCTGTTGCCCACCTCCTTTTATTTTCCTTCCTGCCTGCCTTCTTTGATACCTATCCCAGTAGTCCCATGGGGAGGAAAATAATTTCAAGGGGCCAAAGCCTTTTCTGAAGCAACCAAAGACGTATCCAAGTACTTCCTCCAAATGAACATGTATTTCCTCTCCCCGTTGTGAGGCCCAAGGGGTCCAGAGGTTTCATAGCTAAGCTGTTCCCTCTTCCTTTCAAGTGAAAGTAGTGAAAGGAAGGGAAAACCCGAAAGCAGATCCCTCTGATAGGGATTCAATTGGAAATAGAGCCTTCCCCTGGAGCCATTTTCAGTTGTGACCTTTTCCCCAAATCCTTGACCTCTACTGTTTCAAATCATGCCACCCATCGTCTGGTCCTATGAGGACACAGCCTTGAAAGGGTAGCAGGCTGAGTGCCCCCAAGCCAGGCTGCCACACCTCTCTGCCCTACCCTCCACCCTAATCAGCAGGGTGGGGCTGCCTTTTGCTCCAAGAGGCATCAGGCCACTAAAGAATATCTCACCCTCTGCCCAGAAGTGATGCCTTTCTGAAGGCTGAGGCTGTGGTCTCCTTCCCTGACTCTCCCTTACTCAGTATGGTGTTTGGGTGCCCTTCAGATGCCCCTCCCTCCCTCCTTCCTAGGTACCTGTAGACCACACAGCCCAGTTCTGACCTCTGATATCCATGACCAAACCAGCCCTGGCACACAGAGACCTGGACCTCTGCCAGCTGTCAGGAGCAAAGCTTAGAGACTTGGAAGTGCAGGATTGAGAGGATGATGGAACTCCTTTGGTCCTACCTTCTTAAAGATGCTGAGGCCTAGGGCTGGGGATTTAGCTCAGTGGTTCCACTGCCTGCCTTGCAAGCACAAGGACCCGAGTTTGATCCCCGGTACCAAAAAAAAAGATGCTGAGGCCTAGAGATGGGAAGTGACTTGCACAGGGTCACACAGTTGGATAGTGACAGAGCAAGAGCCCAGTCTTCCTGATTCCAAGTCACCTGTGTTTTCTGGGACCAAATAATGGGCACCTACTGAAGTCTGGGCAGAGCAGTCTTGGCTCTGTGCTACTCCAGACTTCCCCATAGGCGGGGGGTCCCAGTTGGAGGGCTTAGGCCTGTGCCAGCTCTGTCAGTGCTACTCAGACCTTCATAGCCTCTCTCATAACCCTTTGTTGCCTTCTATCACCAGCCAGACATGTGCCTAGGAGCTGAGCTTCTAGGAGACCAGAAGTAGGGAGAAAAGGAAGAGGCCAGGCAGTTTTGACAGATGCTGTTTTCAATTCCACTGCAGCTCCTCCCCCTTTTATTTCCTCAGTTTAAGCATAAGTTCTGCCAGCTATAGAAACTTCAGTCCCTCAGGCTGGCAGCTGCCGCAGGTACCTGCCTGGGGTGACCTGGCATCGTGAAGAGGACTGAAAGGCAGAGCAACTCAGGGTCCTCTTCTTGTCTCCCCTGTTACTGCACATGGTGATGTTAGTTCCCCCTCGCCTCTTCCCAGAGCTAATATACAGGTGCTGTTATTCAGGAAAAAATTGGTCAGCTCTGGCCAACAGCAAGGTTCCTTCTCTTCTGCCCTAACTATTGTATAGGCTCTTATGCTGAAATCAGCTTCTCCTGGCTTCTCTGGCTTTCAGAGCCTGAAACAAAGGGAAACAGAATCTGTCTCTCCCCAGCACAGCAAATGGTTGTAGTAATTGCCAAAGCCCTTGTAAACCCCTCCGGCTTGAGGAGAGTATAATCGTGAGCACTGCTGCCTCCCCTTGCTGAATGCCTCTCTCTGCCTCCTTTCTTAAACTTGGGATGTGCATACTGAGCCTGCAGATGCCAGCAGGTCCTCCTGCCATGGCTACTCTAGAATGCGCCCTCTTCCCACTCCCTACATTAGCACAGGGCTTGGCACCCAGCTTCATGCTGAGCACACCAGGGCCTCCCACCTGCACTTCAGAAGCTGAAGGTGCTTTCATCAGAACCCTGAAATGGCTGTTGAAGGTGCCCCGGCAGTGGCTAGAGAGACAGGTGGAGTGCAGTGGTTCCCCCAAATAGGCGTCCTGGGGCCTGGCCAGGCCAGGGTTTGGACCTAATGGGTTTGACTAAATTAGCCCCATCCTCCTCTTTCCTGAAAAGGGGGAGCCAGAGCCACTCACTATCATTTCGCTCTGACCTTGAAGGGGGCGGTGTTGGCCTGGTTTCTGGAATGGACAGAGTCCACCGTGAAAAGGGCTGGGGGCAGGAGGAGGTGGGGAGGGGCTCTGCCTTCGGAAGGTAGGATTAGATCATTAGCTCAGTGACCTCCTAGGGTTTCGATGTGCTGTGTTCTCATCCTACAGCTGGTTTGGTAATGATCTGCGAGTCCCGGAGAGCAACAGCCCAGCTCTGCCTGACGCTCTCATTAAAATCCATGCAGCCAAGCTCGGCACTTTGTAGCAGCGGGCCTTGCGAAGCTTCCTCAGCTCGGGGGGCTGGGGACCCAGTCAGCTGAGAGGCTCTCTGGGCTCTACTATGCATATGTGTACAAAAAAAAAAAAGTGCTTTAAATCCAGAGCCCTTTAAGATGATAAAGGACCCAATGCAGGTAGGCATGTGTTTTTGGAATCCTGTAATTGTAGAATGCAAAGTTTAGTGATTATTTAAACTGGGCCGAGGTTGGTAGGAGAATGGAACAATGGCCCATAAGGACTCTTAAGCACCGAAGCCAAGGAGCCACCTCCCTTCCTGGTCTGCTCGGCCCAGGGGACCTGCCCCCCGAATGCTGTGGCCCAGGGACCCAGGGACACAGCTTCCAATCGGCAGTGTCAGAAGTGACTTGTGGCTTTGCCTTTGTCATGAGATGATTTCATTCCAAAGGAGTGGGTTGAGGGGGGTCCCTTGGAGGCTCAGAGCAGCTGGCCCAAGCTCCAGCTTGCTTCCAGTGGAAGCTCGAGTGCCCTCAGAAACGACCCTGGGCAATGTCACCGCAGAGCTGAGGCGGTGTTGTCAGGGCTAATGTGAAATCTCTTCCCGTGGCGCCGATCCTCCGACTCTGCAGCGCCAGCTTGGACAGATTGAGGTCTCTGTGGCTTTGGTGACCCTGCTTAAGCATTCCCACCGTGTCCCTGCTGTGCTCTAGGACTTCCTCCCGCTGCAGTCCCTCACCTGACCTCAGGGCCTGGGGAGGGAGGCAGTGCGCCAGGGCAAGGCGCTTCCGCTCAGGAGAGATGTCAGCCTTCCTGGGGGCGTCAGGCTTTGAGCTCTGCTGGGGTCCGGCTGACCTGGGACCAGATGTCACACAGAAAAGTGCCTCGCTCTGTGCCTCCTGCCATGTTCACTCTAATAGTGCCTCAGTAAGGGCTAGGGAACAATTCTGTTACTGTATTAACTTTATTCAGTTAATTCACTTGAGAAACTAACCAATTTTTACTTTCTGTCTAGAAAGATGTACATGTAGGCGAGTAAGCTGTAATGCTCCCAAAGTGCCTTGTTTTCTCTTATATAAATATATTTATAAGGACATATTCCAGTTGGTTGTTGGGTGTGTTTGCCACATCAGAATTTTAGAGAGTGAGAAAATCTCTAGTGGGGATACCTTCTGAAAATAGGCCCCTTTCCCAAGGCTGAGAAAGGGACTCTTCAGTTAGAAATCTGAGCAATGGGGTTAAGTGAAATCCCTGAAATGACCTTTTCTTCTTCTGCCCTACTCTTCAGACCCTCAGAAAGACATCCAATTTTCTAAAGCCCTGCAGCTCCAAATCTTCTCTCATTGGGTTCCCTGCCAGGCTCCTGTGTGTACATTTGTACCCTAGTGACCTGAAGGTTCTGTGTAACTATTTTGTATATACACATGAACACTGAAATGCCAACATTTTCAATAATTTGATAAAATCTCTATAGCCACTCAGCCACCTCTGGTGTGTGTGTGTTTTTCACAGAAATTAGAAGGGCAATACTGATAGCCACTGATGATGTTGGGGCTCCAGAGCTGGGTCTAGCCCAGTGGGCTTAAAAGGCAGCAGACTCCTGGGTGGAGATCTAGGTTGGGGGACCCAAGGCCCCAACTCCCACATTCCCTCCCTTAGGAGGAAGGGTTTGTGCTGGGGCCGGGGAGACAGGCTGCCTTGCACTAGGCAGGAGAGGAACACAGACTGAATGCTGATGCTGCCTCCCAACATCTGGCCGGCATCTTGTCTGCCTCTCAGGCCCAAGCAACTTACCTTAAATAGAACGATTTACAATGGAATCCAATAAAAGGTTCAGGCTGCTGCACGCCCCCTCTCCTGCCTGGAGAAGGCAGGGGGGCTGGGTTTAGATTCTGACCCAAAAAAATGACCTACCCAGGAAGCAACGGTTGTTCAGAGCACAGCTGCTGCTGGTAACTGTCCCTGGGGGTAATTTATGAGCAGACACCCAGTTCTGGGCCCAGCAGATGCAGTGGGGTGGCCCTCAGGAGAGGGGCGGGAGCAGGGTTGGTGACTCTAGGTCATGCCTGCTGTGCAGAGAGACAGTCACCCACTGGTGTCCCAGGAGAGGGAATAGAAGTTTTGAATTGTCAGCAACTGCTGCGCCAGCCACTCTGAGCTCATCATTGGAGGTGGGGATGCAGAGGAGGGGGTGTGGAGCCTGCTCACCCTGCAGAGCCCCTCCGCCCCACCCTCCTGCTCAGGGCTGTGTTTAGTCAGCACTTGGCTGCCTGAGGCCAGTGACTGACAGGCAGCCAGACAGCCGCCCTGGCAGAAGACAAAATGGTGGTGTTGGGAGCCGCCCTTGCTAGGGAATTGGAGGGAAGGAATGTGGTTCTGAGAAGTGAGAGGCCAGTGCTTGAATTCTGGTCCCGCCACTTGGGAGCCGTGACCCTGTGCACATCACTCCACCTCTTTGGGCTAATCTTAGAATGAGCATTTACTGAGTGCCCACCACCTGCCAGAGGTGTTTAGAGTCAGGGGTCCTCCGTTTCACACAAGAGAAAATAGATTCACAGAGGTCTAAGATCACATAGCTGACCAGAAGCAGCCCACGCCTAGTCTGTCTTTTAACAGTCTTCATCTAGCATGGAGGTCCTAACTGTGGTAGGGGCATGTGCAGGGTTTCCTGTTAGCAGCCTCAGCCCCTGGTGCCTGGTTTTACCCCCTGGTGCAGTAACAGGTGGGGTTATTTTTGCTCTTTGAAATCAAGCGAACTCCACTGAAGGCCCTAGACTTTTGGAGGGGAAGTAGCCTGCACCCTCAGCTACCTGGAGACAAAGCAGACTCACGAATTATGGTCTAGGGCTTCACACAGACACACCCTATCCAGTACACACAAGTGGATGTTCATTTGTGCATGTTTTTGTACATATGCAGGGTGTGTGCGTGGCACACAACCCAGGCCCAGGGACACATCATGCACAGACCCTGCCCTTGTGTAAACAAGGACACAAATCAGCATACAGTTACAGGAACACATAATTGCAGGCAAACCTCACACACAGTCCTCCAGAGCCACCCCTCCCTGCTCACTGCCTCTGCCAGTTGCTCACTGCCCCCTCCTGGCCACCGGGTGGCCAGGGCAACCTGGCACCATTTCCTGAAGTTCCTCAGGGTGGTCAGCACCCAGCTCCCTCTGTCTAAGGGTAGGAACAGTTTTAAGTGCTGCCTCAGAGCCCCAGGGGGTGAGATTCTAGAGGGGGAATCTTAAGGATAAAACACCCTTTAACATCCCAGGGAATTTTTTTTCCGGTACTGGGGATTGAACTCGGGACCTTGGGCTTTCAAGGCAGGCATACCACTGAGCTAAATCCCCGGCCCTCCCAGGGAATTTTTCAAGGTAGAATTTTCAATCTCATGGTGAGAGGCGGGCAGGCAGGATTTGGCACAAAGGGTTGACCATAGACACCCACGCCAGCCAGCAGCCACCCCGGCCTGACCAGGAAACTGCGCACATGTGCTTCTGGTGCCGCACACCTCGAAGAGGAGCAGACCTGCCGGCTGAAATTAGAGGCAGGCTCTTCCAGTTCCCACCTTGCTACTCCTTCTCTGGGCCTTGGCCTCCTCAATGTGTTCAGCAAGGAATTGATGTGACGATGAGTGGGGCCCCTCCACTTTAATGTCTCACCATCTTGGGACCTGACACTGCACTCGTGTGTGTGTGTGTGTGTGTGCACGCGCGCGTGTGCATAGCACACAATCATGAACAGCCTGACTCTGAACTCCTCTGGACAGAGTTGGAAAGATCACCCAAGGCCTTTTATTCTTCTTTTACAGATGAGGATGTGAGGCACAGAGAGGAACAGCAATTTGTCCAAAGTCACCCAGCAAGCTAGCAGCAGACATGGAAGTAAAGCCAGGTGTGGTGGCACATGGCCTGTAATCCCAGCATTCAGGAGGCAGAGGCAGGAGGATCTCCTAAGTTCAAAGTCAGCCTGGGCTACATAGTAAGTTCAAGGCTAGCCTGAACAACATAGGGAGATCGTATCTCAAATAACCACAACCACCACTACCACAACAAACACAGGCATAGAAGTAAAAATCTTTCTAATACCCCAGATAGCAAAATATCTGGACTTGGGCCCAGAGCTGAGATGGACTGGAGCTATAAAGGCTAACACTAGGGTCTCTGATTTTCAGTCTGCAAGACCTCACAAGGTCTCTGTGGCTGCCTGAAGCCTTGGGGGTTTCCCAGGGGACATCCATGCTGGAGTAGTCAGCATAGAGGCTTAGAAAAGGCAACTTAGGACCTGGGTGGGTTCCACCCCTTCCCAGCCCTGTCAATAGACTGAGCAAACCTCCAGCGTCCTTGCTTGTTTACTTCTTTGTGTGTATGTGGTATCAGATTGAACTCAGGGCCCTCACACTGAGCTACATCCCTATCCCTTTTTAAATATTTTTATATTAAGACAAGGTCTCCCTTAGTTGCTCAGTTGCCAGGCTGGGCTCAAATCCTCCTGCCTCAGATTCCCGTATTGTTGGGACTGTGGCATATACCACTACATCTGGCTACCTTTACTTTCTTTTATACAAAACCAAAAACAGGCTAAAGGGTCTTCTCTCAAGCCTGTGGCCACTTGGTAGCTTGTTCATCAAGATATGCACAGGGCCTGGGATTTAGTTCAGTGGTTCTGGCGCCTGCCTCACAAGCACAAGGACCCAAGTTCAATCCCTGGTACCAAAAAAAATAAAAGATATGCACATACTTGAGTGGTGAATACATGTGTGTATGGGCTCTATGTGTGCATTCCCACATGTGGATGTATGTTCATGCATGCCTACAAGTATACTTAGGAGACCTGTAGGGATGTAGAGGATGTACATGTGTGTGTTTGCAAGCCTGTGTTTGTGTGTATGGTGTCTTTTTCCATGTATGTATTTATTCGATGCTGGGGATTGAGCCTTGCATGTGATTAAGCACGTGCTGTACTGCTGAGCCACACCTCTGGCCCCTGTGGATGTACATGTGTGAATGGTGTCTGCTTATCTGACAGGTGACTTCATGTGCATGTAAAGTTTTGCTTGCAGACATAACTGGGGTGTTCACTGAATGTGCTTGGATGTATGCAAATGTTCGTGTGCACTAGTGTGCTGAGGGGTAAAACATGCCCGGACGAGAGTGGTGAGTGTGTACATGTGTGTGGAGGAGTACCTTTATATGACAGTGCACATGAGTCAGCAATGCCCTCCCAATCCTGGCATGCGGAGTGCCTCGCCTGACTCCACAGCACCTCCGCCTCATCCCTGTGTGCGCTCTATTCCCTAGACCCATCCTGCTTGGCCAATTTGCAGCCTCTTTCTCCCAGCTCCCAAGAAAGCCTGCAGCAAAATCAAGGGGCTGGTGGCCAATTATCGAAGGGGCTAATCAAGGATCTAGGGACTGGGCTGGGGATTTAGCTCAGTGGTTCCACAGCCTGCCTTGCAAGTGGAAGGACCCGAGTTCGATCCCTGGTACCAAAAAAAAACGGACCTAGGGACCCCCAGGGAGTGGGAAGCCAAAGGCAGGTGTGGGGTTGGCAGGAACAGGAGCTGCCTGTCATGAGGCTGGGGTAGAGGAAAGGCAGGGCTAGGAGGCTGAGCCAGCCTGTGGTGCTGGAAATCTATGGTCAGCAGGTGGATCCATGATTGCTGAGTACTGACAGCAGCAGGCAGGGAGCATGTGTGAGTATGTGTATACTGTGTGCAGCTGTGTATACATGACTAGATACCATCTGTTGTGCAGGTTTGTATCTGTGTGTATGTGAGTGTGTGATGGTACGGCATGTCTGGGCTGCTATACAAGGGTGAGTCTGTGTATAACATGCAAGAGCATGCACATAGATTTAAGTGCATGTTCCAGCATGTGTTCATGTGCACATAAAGTTGATGTCTGTGTACACGTTGTAATGATGTACCTGTGTGCATGAGTGTGCATGCACTAGTGTGTAGATGCAGATGCATCTAGGTCTACATGCATGTCTGTATGCGTGTGCATGTGTGTGGTGTCTGAACAGCTGTGCGGTGCCCATGCTCGTGTGTGCCTGGGTGTCCCCATTTGGATGTGCCCTTGTGCTCACAGGTCTCAGCTCACAGGAGGAGCTTGGGATATGGGGCTGGCAGGCTCTAGGCTCCAGGAGGGAATCTGACAGACGAGCCTTGCCGCAGCCCCCGGCCCCGGGAGCCTGTTTTCCAGCCTGCAGAAGCTGCAAGCCCGTGAACTCATCTTATATTAATAGCTGCTGTCTCCACACTTATTGCAGAGAGAGTCAGTCATGGCCCCAGTGGGGGATTGGTGCTCAGGGATGCCCCACTTTGCCCACACAGGATCAGGGGAGAAGGGAGGGGAATAGACCCCAGCCCCATCCAAGGGCTTAGCCCTGCAGGAAAGGAGCCCCTGGCTCCCCCAACTCAGGGAGCCTGCTGCCCAGCTCCCCCTCCTGGCCTCTAGCTGGGTGTGATCAGGCATCAGGGTTGGAAAGCTGGCAGAAGCCAGAAGAGGCTGGAAGACTTGGCTACCCCTCCCCAGACACACACACAAACACACACAGCCTCACACACACATGCATGTGCATGACATGCAGCGCAGCCCTGGGCTGAGCACCAAAGGAGTCTGAGGCTGAAGGAGACAGTGAGACTCGGAATTCGGGAACAACACAGTCTTGCCCACAGGGGCCCTCTTGTCAGTCTGAGATAAAAGACATGACCCTGCTCCCAGAGGCCCTCTGTCTTAGCCAGGAGGCACAACCCAGGTCTCAGGGGTCCCAGTCTGGGGTGGGGAGATGTGACCTTGTATTCAGGAGCCCCTTGTTCTGAGCAGAGACAAAGTGATCTGCTTTCAGGAGCCTTCAGTCTGTGGGAACAGTGGTGTCCCTTCTCTCAGGGACCCTCAGTTGGAGAAGGGACACAGCTGTCTCTTCAGGGGTCCCATACAGAGGAGGCAGGCAAGACTCCTGTACACGTGATCACTCAAGGGAGCTATAGGAAGGCGCATGGATGAATCACATCTTCACAGCCACAGCAGGGCTCAGCCAGGGGCACTTCCTGGAGAAAGCATGCAGCAGGGTATAAGAATGACTGAACTGTCTGCAGCCCACTCCACACAAGGCTCCCCTAAATGCCTCAGATGGACCACACAACCACACCCAGACAGATGGAGCTCCTCACCATGAGGGCCCAGTGCAGACCCTTCAGACACAGGGTGGGGAGCAGAAGATCCCTGCTTGGCCCCTGATGCTATGAGCTGGCTTAAGGAACAATGGATCCAGTGGCTCCCAGCTAGGATGGGCACCTGACCCCACACACACTTCTGGACCCTGGTGGGAACTGCTTGGGAGCATGAGGAAGGCAGCGGGGGACCCTTCCCTGTGTTACTCCTCCAAAAGCCTGGGTATAACCTGGAGAACCCCAGCTTTTCCCCAGCCTGTCACAGGGCTTCCTGCTTGTTTCCCAGCCTGATGTTTCTGAGCCATTGCTAAAACCCACTCCCTCACTCAGGAAAGACACAGATTTGGAGTCAGATGACAATGGGTTCAAGTCCCAGCTCAACTCCTGAAGGTATGACTTTGGGTAGATAAATGTCACCTTGCAGGGAGGCCTTTCTTTTGAGTATCTTCATTTAAAAATTACTCATATATTCTTTATTCTTCCCTACTTTATTTTTCTCTGAGGACGTACCATCAGCATTATACTTTTTGAAAAACCTTTCTATTTATTTGCTATTTCCTCCTGCTACACATTAAGTTGTCCACAAGGACATCAGTAAATAGATGAAGGCCCATTATTCTCAGAGCCTCAGCTTCTTCCTTCAAAAAGTAGGGAAGTTGGGCCGGGGATTTAGCTCAGTGGTTTTGCCGCCTGCTGCGCAAGCACAAGGACCAGAGTTCAATCCCCGGTACCAAAAAAAAAAAGTAGGGAAGGCGGTAGCACCTGTCTGTCCAACCCTTGGTGATGATGTGTGAAGTGTTTGGCTCAAAATCTGTCCTGAAGGAAGAGCTTATGGAGCAGAGGGTCTCTTCTGAAGGAAGGTGGGGAGGAAGGGTAAAGCTCAGCCTTACCTGGGGGGTCCTCCCCACTTCACCACTAGGCTTGTTGGCAACTCCCTGCCCAAAAGACCTCTGTCCTCCCCTGACACGGGTAAGTGAGCTTGAGCAAATAATTGCTCCTCTTTGGGCCTCAGTCTCCCTGTCTGTATGATGACAGAATGGGCTAGAAGCACTGTAAGGACCCCTCTGGTTAGGCCCAACTGTAAAGCTTGGAAGGCTGGGGACTGGGCTAATCAGAGATTCCTCTTGAGCCACACCCCACACCTGCCCTGTCCTTGCCTGGTAAACACAAGCCTGGGCTCCTCCTGCCCTCCCAGAAACCAAAACTCAGGTCCCCAAATAGACACTGTTATAGCCACTCACCTCTGTGTGGGAAATAAGCTTTTCCACAGTGACGAGGCCTGGTGCAACCACTTCTCAAGTGTGGGCCTCTGGCCCCAGGATAGAAATCAGGGGTAGAATGTCTTTAGCCCTGGGCTTAGGAAAGAAAATAAAAGGTCATTGCCCAGGAGAGAGAACACAGATTCTGGATACAGATGCTCCTGGTTTCAATCCTGACTCATTTCCTGGCTATATGATCTTGTGTCAATCACGGATCCTTTTTCAGCCTCAGTTTCCTCATCTGTAAGTGGAGATGATACTATATACGTCAGGGGATGCCTACTAGCATAGGGAGGTGGCATGTACAGTTCCCTTAGCCCTGTGCCCAGCCCATAGTATGCACTCACTGTTAGAAGGAAGGGGTTAGTTATCATTATGAAGGAAACTGACATGCTGTTAGCATGTCATAATCTTCATGCCAGAGCCCCAAACTGGCCAATTGGGTAGAAGAGCCCAGCACCCTGGTTCCTGTCCCCAGGGCGAAGTGAGATCTATGTCAGGTGATGCCCAGGTCTGACGAGAGTGACACTGACATCCTGGGGCGGGAGGGCCAGCCACACTCTACCCTGGGTCCCCAGCTCTACAGATCCCCCCCTCAGCTTCCCCTAGTCTGGCCTGACCTTTTCATTCCAGGCTTTTCCCCATCAGGCCCATTCTATAGCGCGCGCGCGCACACACACACACACACACACACACACACACACACACAAGAACATTTATCACAAAATCATTTTTTATTGAGTTGGATTGGGGGACAGGAACAGGGAATGCACTGGGGGTCATACCCCGGCTGGCAGAGGGGTGGGGTGTTGGCTCTTGCCCCGCCTCCTCTAGGGCACCTCAAGGTGAGGCCTGGTTCCCCAGGCCATGGCTGTGGCGCTGGACACCAAGCTGGAGGGGAGTTGGGGGGTTTCGCTTCCTAGTCCCGGTTGCCTGGCCAGGATGCAGCTCCCCCAAATGGCCACCAGAGGACAGCCGGCCCCAGCGCAGAGGAATTCTCGGTTGCTCAGGTGATGGCTTCTTAAAAAAATAAAAAACCAGAGGCTGGTGTGTTCCCCTTGCAAACCCGAGCAGGGCGGGGCTGGGGAGAAGGCTCTGGTTTCTGTGATCTCTTCGATTAAAAAATAAGCAAAAATAATAACAAAATACGTGATTTCTCTTTCTCCATTTCCCCCCTCCAGGAACTGAGGTCAGAAATGGGGGTGTGGGGAGTAGGGATACCCTGGTATGGCCTAGATTTCAAGGTGTGGGTCTCTTTTTTCCCCTTACCACCCATAAATAAATTTATAATAAATAAATAATAAATATATTTTCTTTGTATGTGCACATATATATAGATAAATCCTTCTTCTATTTAGGCAACTAAGTGACTACTCTGACTCTTGAGCTTAGAAATTCAAAAATAAAGTGACATGGCCAAGGTCAAGTCTGAGGGAGGGGAAAGGTCAAGGATTTGGAATGGCACTGTAAAACTCCCAGCATTCTGGAATTGCGAACCAGCTGGGCTGCGGGACATTTCTAAGTGGAACCCTGACCAGCTGGAACATTCTAGAACCATGGAGCCAGCTGGGCCCCTGCAGGGATCTTGAACAGAACACCCAACGTCCTAGAACTCCAGAACCAGCTGGGTCTTGGGGGTGTGGAGCTGTGGGCTTAGAACAAAGACCTGGAGGGTCTAACATTCTGGAATTCTGTAGTGATAGGGTTGCAGAGTCACCAGGAGGTAACTAGACATCACTGGGGGAGCGAGATCGGAAAGGGATCTTGGAAGAGGAACAGCAGCAGCAAATGGCCCACAGCACCTTCTGCACATCCTGGTTGCGGAAGGCATAGATGATGGGGTTGATCATGGAGTTGTAGGTGGCGGGGAGCAAGGTGAGATAGGTGTAGAGGCGTGGTGACTCGGCATCACCCAGCAGGCAATAGATGGTGAAGGGCAACCAGCAGGCGGCAAAGGCGCCAAGCACCACGGCCAGTGTGGCAATGCCCTTGCGGGTGGCCACGTAGTGGGAGGCAGGTAGCAGGTGCCGTTGAAGAGCAATCTGCTGGGCATGGCGGCAGACAATGCGGCAGATCTGGGCATAGAGCTGCAGCATGATGCCAAACACCATGAAGAAGGCAATGGCCAGGACCACCAGATGGTTCTTGGAGAGTGGATATATCACACCACACATGGTCAGGCCATCCAGGCAGTTCCAGGCCAGCACAGGCAGCAGCCCCAGGCCCAGGGCACCTCCCCACACTAGGGCCAGCATCACATAGGTCCGAGTCACTGTTGTCTCCGAGTAGTAGGTGAGGGCGTTGTATAGGGAAAGGTAGCGGTCGACAGTGATGGCCAGCAGGCTGCCGATGCTGGCGGTAAAGGCCATCACCAGCATGCCAACCAGCACCAGGCTCATCTCCACCCAGCCAATGCAGAAGACAGCAGCAAAGTGCAGGACCAGGCCCAGGCCTGCCAGCAGGTCTGCCACAGCCAAGCTGCCCACCAGCAGGAACATGGGAGCACGGAAGGCAGGAGTACCGACGATGATGGCTACCACCAGTGCATTCTCGCAGGATACCAGGGTCCCTGAGATGCACAGCACCACATCCCAGGCCCTGGGCAAGGGCAGTGATGCAGCTGAGCCTGTGGGCCCCTCTGCTGGACCTATGCTGCTCAAATTCATGTTGCCTGGGCCAGACGAGAGCCAGGCCAGGGGGCTGCCTGCACCCCACATCATGGTACCTGCAGGAGAAAGGCCCTGTGAGATGCTGGCAGGGCTGGGTGCTGACAGGAGGGGTCTGGAGTGGGCGAGGTGCCCCCAGATACCTGGTACCCCAATGCCCTCCTACCCCAATAATCATGCCCTATGCTCTTTTCGAGGTACCTTGGTCCTCTCCAATGCCTCCAGGCCTCTCAAGAGGGACCTTATTCCCTGGGGATCCTTGCCCTAGATCTCTTCACACTCCCTCCCACTCCTCTGGGTCCCACAGGCCTTTTTTCCCCCGAGTGTGGGATCGAAGGAGAACCAGATGAAGAGCTACCCTAAATGAACTGGGGACCACAGGATCCAGGGGATGCCCAGAAAGGCTCAAGAGCGGGGAAGGGAAACATCTAGAGACTGGGAGCAACTCTACTCCCTCCCACCAGAGAGGATGACTGAGTTTCTGAGGCTCCCCGACCCCTCACGATTCTCAGCACTGCCAGCTCCAGGCTCCGCCCCCAGGGAAAGCACGTGAAGCCCTTGTCAGCCCCCAACCAACATTCCTGGGATATTGCCTGGGAACTCAGCCGCCCACTCACCTTCACCCAGACTTCTGTCCCCAGTGGACCCTTCTTTTTGTCCAACTCCCTGGGTCTCTATAACAGACACCTCCTGCTGGAAGCCTGGATCTCTGAGTCAGACTCCTCCTTTTGCTGGGACACCTGGATCTATGGCCTGACTCCGCCTCTTGCCTGGATATCAGAATCCCTAAATCAGACACCCCCTGCTTCTCGAACGCTTGGGTCCCTGCCCCGGACGCCTCCTGCCCGCTCAACGTCAGATGACAGTCCTTCCTTCCAGGGCCTCGGATCCCTACAGAAATGCTCATCCTTTGCCGGGTGACCCAACTCACCGCTCCAGCACCCAAACACTTAAGGCCACGCCTGCTAACCCAGAATCTGCTAACCCAGAATCCCAGCCTAGACCTCCGACCCTGCCCAGCCGCAAGGAGTTTCCCACCCGCCCAGTTCCCCAGCGTGCCCTCACAGATACCAGGTGCCCGTGGCAAGGTCCACTACTCACCGCTCAGGATCGGGAGCGGCTGGGCCGCGGGGAAGCTCCACTCGGGTCCTGGCAGCGCAAGGTGTGCGCGGACCCCGAGAAGCCCCCGCGGCCTCGGGAGAAGCGGCGTGAGTCACCCCGCCCCGCCCCGCCCCCGGCCACCGGTCTGGTGACGTCTGCCGCCCGTTTGGCCAATCCGCGCGGCGGGCTGGGGCGCAGCGAGCCTTGAGAGGCATGGTAATGAGGCCTCGCACGGCCGGCTCCCCCATTCATAAAAAGCGTCCGTGGCCACAGCTCCGCCCCCTCCCAACTCGGCCCGCGATGCCCTTGATGCGGCACCCTCTGAGGGCTGGGGCTTTCCGGGGTGCTGGTGGGAAAGCCTTGGAGAAGTCTCAGGGAGCCTACAGGGAATGTAGTTGGGGGAGAGGCAGGGGGATTGGAACAGGCTGTGTGGAGTGATGGGACCCTCGGGTGGCAGGAATCCAGGAGACTGAATGATGGGGCTGAATGGGTGTCTCAGGTGAGGCTGACGGGGTTGCCGAGGATGGGCTCTGAGGTGACGGGGACAGGAGCAGGGAGGTGGGTGGCAGTGACGAGTGAGCACGGGTGACAGGATCTTGGGGGATGGCAGGCGTGGGACATGACAGTAGAGGACGGTAGGACTCCCAAGGCAACCATGGCAGTGTCAGGGCGACTCTGCAGAGTGAGGGAGCTCAGGGATCCCAGGGTGGCAGAAAGCGGCAAGGATGAAGGGACTTCAGGTCACCAAGACCCTGCCAAGTGCTGAGGTCCTGAGGTGACAAGAGTTAATGATGAGGATTGTAGGGTCCTGGAATGAAGGTACTAGTGACTGGTGAGTGACCCCAGGGTGAGGGAACATGCAGAGGGCCCAATAGACAGTGACCAGGCAGGTGATCTGCTGCCAGGACAGGTCCTGTGACGCTGGGGCAGATGAGCTGGGTGACGTCACTCGAGTCGGTCCAATGGCACCCGCACAGCTAGGGAGAGGGCCTGGCAAGATCTCAGACCTGAATTATTTATTCAAGGATCTGGAAGGCCAGCGGGTTAGGGTGCGGGCCACTTCCCCAAAGCAGCAGGAGCTGGGGAGCCGGGAAGAACTTGGAAGCGGAAAACCTGGCAGTTCAGTCCTCAGGGCAGGCTCCCCCCTCCCTCAGCCTCGAATCTTAGGCTCCCTGGTGGGGTGGGGTGGGGAGAAAGAGCCCCTGCCCTAACCCTGCCTGCCCTTAAAACCAGGAGCTACCCCAGCAGATTTCACCAGATGTGACCTGGGGTTAGGGGTGGCTGCCCCTCCTCCCTGTGGCTCCAGCTTTTTTTTTTTTTTTGGTACTGGGGATCAAACGGGACCTTGCGCTTTCGAGGCAGGCGCCAGAACCACTGAGCTAAATCCCCGGCCCCTGTCTCCAGCTTTTATACTGGCTGGAATCATCTAGGTCTGTGGGAGGGTGGACAAGGGACTGAGTTAGGGTTTGTGAAAACCTGTGACTCCTTGTCCCATCCCAGCACCACTACAGCCCCACAGTCAGGGTACACTGGGAGGTTAAGGGTTCAGATGTGGGGTGGAAGTGAGGCCAACAGGTAGGGAACATGGGAAGAGGGGAAGACTGGGACTGAGGAGTTTGATGCATTTCAGATTGGGATGTCAGGAGCAGACTGGATTCAAATCCCAACTTCTCCATTCCCTATCTGGGTGACTTTGGGGAGTTTTTCAGGCTCTCTGTGTCTGTTTTCTCATCTATAAAATAGGAATGAAGTCGGGCGTGATGGCACACGCTTGTAATCCCAGCACTTGGGAGGCTGAGGCAGAAAGATTGCACAAGTCCAAGCCCAGTCTGGGCTAAATAGTGAGTTCAAGGCCAGCCTGAGCTACATGGCAAGACCCTGTCATTAAAGAAAGGGAAGGAGGGCTGGAGATTTAGCTCAGTGGTTTCGCTGCCTGCTGTGCAAGTGCAAGGACCTGAGTTCGATCCCCAGTACCAAAAAAACACACACACAAAAAAAAGGGAGGGAGAGGGAGAGAAAGAGAGAGAGAGACAGAGAGAGACAGAGAGAAAGAGAGAATCCAGAGATCCAAGAGACTGAATGAGACCATGGATTTTCATGTATGATCTCTCATGCACCAAAACTGCCCATGACAGACTACAGCCCAGTGCCTTTAACAATTCTGCAAAATCAAGGGACATTTTCATAGGTGAAGCCTCAAAAAGCCAAGGGACTTATTCCGAATCACACAGTAAATGGCAGAGCTGGGATCTGAAGCCAGGTAGGTCTATCTTTAACCAAGTCCAGGGGCGCTTCCACTCTAGCCTAGATGTGCCCTTTACCCGGAAGGGGCAGAGGGTGAAGTTCTTTAGGGCTGACAATACCTGCAGTTTGCCAGGTGGCCACCAGATGGCTGTGAGCCCTTACCTCCGGGTGAGACTTCTTTGCTTACCTCTTCTGTTTTCACCAGTCTGAACTCCACAGGAAGTTCTACAGGGAGAGGGATGCGAATGTGGGTCTGTGTGCATCTGTATGTGAGACACAGATAAACTCCACACTTGTCCAGAACCCAGGGCATCTTGGGCATTGTCATGGCATGCGTTCTTAGCACAGACTCATTCATTCAACCAGTATTCAGACAGTCCCCTGGCCTTGGTTTTTGGTAGGTGCTCAGGACAGACGGATGATCTGGCCATATTTCTGCATTTCCAACATTCAGCACATATTCTTTTTTTTTTTTTTTTTTTGTACCAGGGATGGAATTCAATACCTTGTGCTTGCTAGGCGGGTGGCAGAATCACTGAGCTAAATCCCAGGGCCTCGGCACATATTAATTGAGCATCTACTATTTGCCTGGCATAGAGGACACAGCAGTGAACAAAAATCCCTGCTGTCTTCAAGGAACTTCAACTTTAATGGGGGAAGAGATGGACAATCTACACAGAGATGCTTAATATGATCTCAAGTAGGGAGCCCTTGAGGGTCTCAAAGCCTACTGACCCAGACAAACAGGTACACAAATTGTCACAACATTGTGAAGTATGGCTATTAATAAACATTTGCTTGGCCTGTACCATGTGCAAGGAGTTCTCTAGGGAAGGAAATACACCTGCTTGGAGCTTACAGCCCAGAAAACAAATGGGTCATTAGTTATACATTTGATATATGATTCAAAGAGAAAAGCAGATGCTGTGATGTAGAATAACCAGGGGTTCACTTAAGAGAACAGAAGAGTTTCATGGAGAGGGCACAGCCCCTGAGGAGCAGAGAGGAGGCTAAATGAGCAAAGGAGCCCAATATTGCACAGGGGAGAAGGTTGAGCCCAGAAAGGTCTGAGCAAGAGATCCCTGTGGGCTGGAGAAAGCTGTGAGATAGAAGGTGTTGAAGGGCTTAAACAGGTGACTGATGTGATCTGACTTATTTTTCCAAGCTCATTCTTAGTGGTGACTTGAAGGATCACTTGACCAGGCAAATGGAGTCAGGGGTGGAGGCAGCCCCTCAGAGAGAGGAGCTAGGGTGAAGGCAAGGAGGAGGTGCTGCAGAAGGAAGATGATGGGGAGAGCCCAAGAAAGGCTAACAAGACTTCTAGAGCCAGGAATCAAAAGGTAGTGGAGGCCAAGCCATTGTTGGAAAGTTGGTAACTGGAAGAGACATGGTTACATGCACAGTTTCAGGAGAGCCCTGCACTGTGAGGGCTGGCTTGGGGAGGGGCTGGTAGTGAGAGGCCATGTGCCTGGGAGAGGAAAAGGACCCAGGAGGCTCTGCAGGATTTTAATCTGGGGGCTGAGATGGCGTGTGTGTGAGGTGAAGGTACTATGGTTGCCATCCTGGGTGACAGGGCAGATAATGGGGCCTCCCTGGATGGCGAAAAGGGACCAGACAGTTGCAGGGGTCTGAAGACACTTGAGTGCAGGTGCCCAGGAAGCAGGGACCTATAGGAGGAACAGCAGAAGACAGAACTGAGCAGCCTGCAAATTGGGAATGACACAAATCATGCCCAAAGGGTAGTTGTGGACACTGGACTAGAAGCTGCCAAGTAAAAGGTCTTAGTAGAATGTATATTCACTTAGTAATAAGTGGCCAATGATTAGTTATGTTATTAATTACAGGTGTGATAGCTGGGAAGCCAGAAGTAGACTGGGGATGGAGGTTAGAGATTTTTTTAACTTGTGAACCCAACAGTGCTCTACCACCTACTTAGAGTCTTTTATTTTAAGACAGGGTCTCAGTAAGTTTTCCAGGTAGGACTCAGAAATTGCGATCCTCCTGCCTCAGCTTCCCTCAGTGCTGGGAATACAGGTATATGCTACGGGTCCCGTCCCTTGGGGTTTTTTTGGGCGGGAGTACCGGGGATCAAACTCGGGTCCTTGAGCTTGTGCAGCAGGCTGCAAAACCGCTGAGCTAAATCCCCAGCCCCTTGTTGGTTTTTAAGTGGGGAACCGATGGTTGAGAGATTCCCAAGATGTCTTCAGGAAGAGTGTGGCCTAGGGCTCAGGCCTAAACTGGGCCACCATCGGAGGGGAAGGAGGAGGAGGAGGGAGAAGAGAAGAAAGAGGTTCCCCCTAAGGAACCTGAGAAGCGGCTGAGAAGGAAAGAGAACAAAGGGAAGGAGGGACCAGGCAGAAGAGGTGGCCATGGGGAAGGATTCGGAAAGCCCACTTGACCTAGTAAGGGCACCAGTGACGCATGATTGGCCAGAGGATGTGGTGGGCTGAGGGACAGAAGGGTTCGGGGCCTGAAAAAGCAGTGAACACCAAAGCTGGGCATGGCTGGGAGAGACTCTGCAAGTCCTGGCCAAGCCCTAAGGACAAGAAAGTGACTTTACTTCAAATCCAGATTTGCCACTGTGGCCTCGGTCTGGGCACTCACCTTTTCTGAGCCTCGGTTTCCTCACCTGTAGAGCAGGGATAGAAACAGTCGCTACTTAGCGGTTTTCAGAAATTGTAGGTGGGGGCACTCAATGAGCCAGCTCAACTAGTCCTGGACCCCGCCCCTTTTGTTCGAGCCCCGCCCAGACTGCAGAACAGGGCCACACCTTTGACCGGCCACGCCCACATTGGCCCCACTCTCCCAAAGAGCCCAGCCCTATCTGGCTTTCCCAATGGCCATGCCCCAGACTGGCCACGCCCCGGTTCCCCGGGTCTCGCTCCCACACCAGCTTCGGTGAGCGAGTCCAGAAGGGACGCAGCACATCAGCTGTCCGCCGGCCCCCGGCCCTCGCCCCGCGCCCATGGCCGCGCCGAGACCCCACACCTTGCGGGCTGCGCTCTGTGGAGGCTGCTGCTGCCTTTTTCTGTGTGCCCAGCTCGCGGTGGCTGGTAATGCGCGGCAGGGTCTAGTTAAGGGCCGGGCAGGGAGAAGTGGAGCAGGCCCCTCACCCAGCTGGCTCCTGTAGGAGTAGGAGAAGACCAGCCGGGGTCCGGTCCTATGTGGAGCCCCGCTCGCGCGCGCGCGTGTGTGTGTGTGTGTGTGTGTGTGTGTGTGTATGGTGTGGGGGATTAGGGAGCTTCAGCTGTGTCTGGAGGAGGTGGTTCAAGTGTACCTGGGAACCCCAGGTGTATGCGAAGGGAGGCTCTGGGGGAATGTGGAGGAGGCGAGGTGGGTGTGATCCTGGGCTTGTGGAAGCTCCAGGTGTGTGCAGAGGGGTGGGAGCCACAGTAGTGGGGAAGCTGCTCCCTTCCCATTCCCACCCCACTCCCAGGTAAAGGAGCTCGAGGCTTTGGGCGGGGAGCCTTGATCCACCTGAACACCTGGCCTGCTGTCCAAGGGGGCTGCAAACAACTGGAGCCCTGTGAGCGGTGTGTGGAGGGGGACAAAGCACACAACCGCTCAAGCTGCGTGTGGCAGCAGTGTCAGCCAGAGGAGCCAGGTATGGAGTTGGGCCATCCCCAAGCCCAAGGACCCCAGCTCTGGAACCCAGGCCTCGGCCTTCTCCCCACACTGCTCCCCTGCAACTTCTTCCACCAGGACACTGTGTGGCCCATGCTGAGGTGGCCAAAGAGGGTTGCTCTGTCTACAACCGCTCAGAGTCCTGCCCCGGTAAGGGAGTTCCCACTGGCCTAAGCCAAAGTGGAGGGTGGGAGCTGTGGACTCCCCAAGCCTCTTTTGGGGAGTGAACTGTGCCCACAAACACCTGGGTCCAATTTCAATTCTGCTTTTAGCTTGCGAAGTAGTCCCTTCCCTTCTCTGGCCCATTTCCTTGCCTGTATATCGGGCCAGGTGTGCAGAGGGGATGGGACCATTAACCTTTCTGAGGGAAGGCGTAACAAGGGCTTGGGAAGTTCAGAAGGGAATGGCGTGGGGCTCCCTGGAGGAGGTGGCATCAGAGGTGAGCCATGTAGGTAGAGACTGAGATAGGGCACATCTGGGTGAGGGAACTATAAGACAGGCTTCAAAGTACGTGGGATGTCTGGAGCTGGGCCAGGGCTAATCTGAATCAGAGTCCTGCTGCTGGCTGGGGCTATGGTATTGGTGGCAGCTGGGGGGGGCTGTTTTACTAGGGTTTCTGTCTCCTCAGCTGCCCACCACCACCCCACCTATGAACCAAAGACAATCACAACAGGTGAGTACTCCCTGGGGTGGGGCAGTGAGAGGGCCAGAGTAGTAGGGGATAGACCGGAGCTTGGGCATTGATGTGTTCTGTGGCCTCAGCCCTCTCACTTCTGCCTCACACCTGTTTCCACATCTGTAAAATGGGTTGGATAATTCCTGATGATTTTATGATTTTTTTTATGCCCTGAAAATCCTATTGTTTTATGAGCTGCTGCTGGGCACCCCAACTGGTACGTGGGGTCTATGCCACCCGTTCCTACTTTGAGACTCACTTTGTACCCTCGTGCTGTGTAAGACCCAATTGTGTGTCAGGTGCAGTGAAGGTGACCAAGAAATGGTGGTTCCTATCCCTTCTGTCCATCACCTGTTGTGAGAACTCAGGGTGACCTCTGAGGAACTGAGGGTATGCGGCTCTAGCTACTAATGGGAGGTCCTCAGTGACCACTTACTGCAACCTTCAGGCCTGGGGGCCCAGGCAGATTCCTGGCAGAGCAGGGCCCTTTGTTCCCCCTGCCCCTCAGTCACCAGACTTGGCCAGGGTGGCTGAAGAGGCTTTTGGTTAATTAAAGCCAGAAACTGATCTCAGAGGCTGAATTATTGATGGTTGCCTCAGCTGGAGCCCCAGATCTGCAGAGAGTGGTTCATTCTTTCCTTTTCTGCTTCTCCTCTCCAGTGCTCTTCCCTGGGGCTCCCTGAGCTGCAGGTGGGGCCATCCTTTGCCCCTCATATTCTCAGATCCCTTTACACTACCCACACCCTCTGGGAAGTGGATCCTGCTCCCAGTGGGGCCCTGTCTACTGTCCCAGAATGATCTTCCACCCTTAGCCTTGCCCTGTCTCGGGCACCTGGCCCAGAGCCTGAAATCGAATACCTGGTGGGAGTTGATAGGTAATGTGGCACAGCTGAGAGCCACCCAGACCCTGCCTGGCAACTGTGGCCCTCAGTTTCTACCCTCTGAGGAGTAGGAGAAAAGGTCCAGGAAGCCTGGGTGAGTCCAACTCTGTCCTACCTACCTGTGAGGTGACTTCGGCCAAGTCTGGCCCATCATCTCATCTCCACCTACTCATTCTGTAGGCCATTGGCCCTAGGCCTCTCCTTCCCCTCTGCTCCTCACTCTTGATGAGTTCCATTTTCAGGACTCCTATCTTGCCCCCTGGGCACTGTACCCTGAGATCCTCAGCTGAAAGGCACTATGAACAGGGGGCTCTGGGTGCCTGAGTGCTGAACCTATCCTCACTCTTCTGGGCTAGTGAGAGACTGAGGCTGGAGGGGAACGTGGTTGCTATTTCTTTGGTCCCTCTCACCTACTGGGCCCATGTGATCAGGAGGCCCAGAGAGGGTGTGTTTGGAGGAAAGCCACAGAGAAACTTGGGAGCAGGGCCAGGCTGGACAAAGTCACACCCCACACAGCACTGTCCCTTTCCCTCTGCCTGCAGGGTCAAGCTGGCCCATAGTGAGGACTAGGGCCTCAGAGTGTCCTGGACCAGATGTGGGCTGGGATTCTGGTCCATGGTGGCCTGCTGTGACCTCCACCCTGCCTCACCCTGCAGGGAGCCCCACAGTTCCGGAAACCCACAGCCCTGGCTTTGATGGTGCCAGCTTCATCGGGGGTGTGGTGCTGGTACTGAGCCTGCAGGCAGTGGCCTTCTTTGTGCTGCGCTTCCTCAAGGCCAAGGACAGCACTTACCAGACACTGTGAGTACCTGGGCAGCAGGGCTGTCCCAGCTCACTCCCACTCCCTCCTGCCCAGGTACAGCCCTAAGGACCAAGACTCCCTCCCAATGTCCCCATGTGAGCCACACCCCTTTTTACTCCTCCAACTGGGGCTCTCTCTGCCAGGTGTTGGCTGGGACCAGGACTCAGCCCGGGCTGTGTCTGGGATCCCTGCTGAGCCCGTGTCTTTGCCCCCTCATGCTGCCAGCAGGGAGGAGAACCAGTAGGTGATGGTCCTGGCGAGTCTTCTGCCTGGCTGCTTGCTCCGTATGGTTTCCTCAGAAAGGGTGGCTGTGCAAGGCCTGTGTGTGTGTGGGGGGGGGGCTTAATTAAAGTGTTTGCCCTTCCAGCTGCGCCTGTTCTCTGGGGGTGGGGGTCCTCCCCTGGCTGAGACTGGATCACCCCCCTAAGTATCCTCTCTGTGTGGCCTCTGCAGAATCTGACCCCCTTGGGCCTGGACTCCACACTGAGGGGAAGGAGGATGCAGAGACTGCCCTCCTGGCCACCTTGTGGGCACTGGGTAGAAGAAGCTTTGGCCACCATTTTCTGGTCCCTGTGGCTATCGAGCAGGCTTACTGCCTGGTGCCTGACATCCCCTCCTCCTGGGCCTGGCACCTGCAGCTGAGAGTATCCTTCAGCTATGTCATGGCTCATCCAGCAACCCTGCTCGGCACCCAGCCTGGTGCCTGGAGTCTGTGCTGCCGCTTCCCACCAACCTAGCCAGGGTCTGCCCCCAAATAAAGGAACTGTTTCCAGTGTTTCACTTCCTGTCCTGTGTCTTGGGCTGTGTGTGGATTGGGGTGAGGGGACAGCTGGTGACTCCAGGAATTCTGCCTAGGACTGTTGCTATTTGAGAAATTTACATAATTCCTTCTGACCCCTGCCCCTGTCCCTCTCCCGTGAGGTACAGAGCCTCAGACTCAGAAAGGTAAACACACAAGCTCAAGATCACACAGTTTCCCTGGCTCTGGAGTGGCCAGAACCTCAGAGCTCCCTTCCAGAGGCCTCTGCCAAGACGGAGAGACCCCCAATTCTGGCCCTGCTTACTCAGGTCCCTGAAAAGTCCATCTCCATCCCTGGGCACAGAAGCCACCTGGACTAATAACATCTCCGCACTCAGCACCTGCTGGGAGCCAGATGCAGAGCTGGGTCTTCCCTCTGCCCCTTCAATCCCAGCTGTGCTGGGAAGTGACAAAGAAAAGTCAGGGTTGTGAGGCCAGCCTAGGGACCCCAACAGTTCTGGGTCAACTCAAGCAACTTATTTCACAGACCTAAGCCTCAGTTTCCTCATCTGGAACCTGGGGATGAGTCTCCATCTCCGTGGGGTGTGGGGAAGGCTCAGGGAAAGTGCAGGCACTGTTTGCTTTACTCCAGGCCACCTGAAACCCAGCTGTGCAGCCTGTGTGTCACCTCTGCTGTGGGCCTCCCTTGGGTATCTCTGGCTCCAGCTGGAGTGTTGCTAAAGGACCCCGAGTGGGGTTGGCAGGCAGTTCCATGGCATCACAGGGGCCTCGCCTGCCCACGTCCTTAGGCTCTGCCTCCCATCCTCACTCCATCAAACCCCCATCTTCTGACATTCAGTGCCTCTCCAGCCCCTTGGCTTTTCTGTTCCCAGCCTGCCTTGCTTCCTCTCTTCTCCAAGCCTTTATATTGTGTGATACTGGAGATGGCACTGAGCTGTGTCCCTAGCCCATTCTTTATTTTTTATTTTGAGAACAAGGTCTTGCTCGCCAAGTTGCCCAGGGTGAGCTCAAACTTGCAATTCTCCTGCCTCAGCCTCCCAGAATTCTGAGATTACAGGCCTGTGCCACCATGCTGGACTTCTTTTTTTTGTTTTGTTTGTTTGATGTTTTTTGAGACAGGGTCTCTCTACATGGTTCAGGCTTTCCTTGAACTCACTATGTAGCGCAGGCTGACCTCAAACACAGCAGTCTTCCTGCCTCAGCCTCCTGAGTACTGAGACTACAGGCGTGCGCCACCATGCCTGGCTTCATGCTCAGCTTCTTACCTTCATTTATTGAATGTTCTTTTTCTTTTAAAAGTTGTAAGTGCCTGTGAGGGGAGAAGAGGACTACACAGAAGTTTACATAAAGAGTGAGAGTGCACCCCTATAATCCCAGCACTTGGGAGGCTGAGGCAGGATTGCCACAAGTTTCGGGCCAGCCTGGGCTACTTAGTGAGACCCCCATCTAAAAAAAAGAGAGAATCAGGAAGGCCCTGGTGGCACACACCTACAGTCTCAGTACTCTGGGAGACTGAGACCAGAGGATTGCAAGTTTGAGCCCAGCCCAGGCAATTTAGCAACTTAGCAAGACATGTCTTTAAACAAATAATAAAAAACAAAAAGATTTGGGTGAGCTTAATGTGAAGGCCCTGGATTCAATCACCAGTACTGAGGTTCAAAAAAAAAAGCAGTTAAAAGTATGTTTGAGACTTTTCTCTGTGAATTTACTACATATATACACATATTTAGCATTTTTACAGCACAAAGAGGGACCATGCTCTACATGAACTTCTGTGACTTTATCCCTACCATTACAGATCAGATTCTCCTAGATGTCCACATGGTCACCATTGATTTGCCTGGATTCTATCAATGGCTGGGTGGGTCATTTCCACACTGACTTTTTTTGGAGTGGGGGTTGCTGGGGATGAAACCAGGGCTCATAGCACACTAGTGCTCACCTCTGAGCTGCACCCCAGATTCATAAACAACATGTTGAACGGGCCAGTTTGCAGCCCTTGGCACACGTGTTCGAGGGTTGGGGAGGACAAATTTCTAGATTGGAATAGCAGTCTTGGGGCCTCTCAGGGACCCATGCTGTTAGGGAGACCCAGGCTCCACTTCCCCTGACACCTCTCTGTACACTAGTGTTCATCATCCTCACCAGCACCAGGCCTGGCATAGGGCAGGTCTTCGGGAAGGGTTCACTGAATGAATAAATGCCGGGTGAGGTGATGCACGCCTGTGATTCCAGCCCTCAGGAGGCTGAGGCAGGAGGATTGCCTTGAGTTTGAGGCCACCCTAGGCTACATAGTGAATTCAAGGCCAGCCTGAAGTACGTAGTGAGTCCCTGATTCAAAAAACAAAACAAGGGGCCACAGATGCAGCTCTGTGGTGCTGCAAACTACCTGGCAAATACCAGGTCCTGAGTTCAATTCCTGGTACAGGAAAAAAACCACAACATATGTTTGTATAAAATAAGTATATAGGCATTAAACATATATGTATTTTGGTGTAGGCATGGAACTCAGAGCCTTGTGCATACAAAAAGTACATGCTCTACCACCAAGCTATACCTAGATCCACTTAGAGTGTTAATTGAGCACCCGAGCCCCTGCTTTGTACCAGGCATATAACCCGCAGCCAAGAGCAAAGCCATGTAGAGATCAGAGGTGATGTACAACCACACTCAGCAGGACCTCTGAGTGCAGCAGGTGCCTCATAGTCAATTTTTGATCTTTTTTTTTTTTTTTTTTTGGTACTGCGGATCGAACTCGGGTCCTTGTGCTTGCGAGGCAGGCGGCAGAACCACTGAGGTAAATTCCTGACCCGTTAGTCACTTTTTATTTGTTCACTGGTACCAGGGCCTGGCACATACTAGGCAAGTGCCCTAAGCAGTGGTCACTAGTAAAAGCCCAAGAAGGACCAGGATAGTAGAGACAGCCTTAGGGCAGGTGGAAGCAAAAAGGAGAGAATTCCAAATGGAAGGCACAGAATGAGCTAAGGTTAAAGGAGAGAGCATCAGGTAAGGATGGTGGCACTTGACTGTAATCCCAGCATTCTGGGAGGGTGAGGCAGAAGAATTGCAAGTTCCAGCCCAGCCTGGGTAAATTAGCAAGATTCTGCCTAAAAAAAAAAAAATTGCCGAGGATGTAGCTCAGTGATAGAGTGCTTGCCTAGCTTGTGTGAGGCCCTGGGTTTCATTCCCGGTGTCATAAATAAACAGAAAATCTATATGAATGCAGAGATCTGGAGAGATGGCTGGGGAGTCCTAGAAGCAGGCCAGAGACAATGCTTGTTCTTTCTCGGGCTCAGAGAGGAAATGCCCCACCCCCTACTGGCTCCAGCTTGGGTGGGGTGTCCCCTGGGGGACAATGAGAGGAAGTTTTGCTACAGGTTCTCGCATCAGCCTGGCTCCTTATAAAAGGTGGAATCCTTGCTCTGGTGACCCCAGCAAAATGGGTCTACTGTGGACTCCACTGTCTTTGTTCATCCTATTTTGGGGACCTGCTTGCCTGAGGACCGAGGAACACCCCAGATGCCCAGGTAGGGGCCTAGGGTGGTTTCTCCACCAACCCACCTCTCAATCCCTGCTCCAAGGAGCAGGGTGAGAGTTTGACAGTCTGGGTTCTGCAATGCACAACTTTTATTTTTTTTGGCACTGGGGATCAAACTCTGGACCTTGTGCTTGCAAGGCAGGTGGCGGAACAACTAAGCTAAATCCCTAGCCCCTGCAGTGCAAGAAGGATAGAAATGGTGCAAACACTTACTCACTCAGCAGGCAAGCATCCTGCCAGCCAGAAGGTGGGCAGTGGAGTTAGAACCGTAGAGGCCTCTGGAAGAGACATGCCCACCCTGTGCCCACCGGCCCCATGTCTCCCTGCAGAATCCAGGGAACTGGAAGCCAGCAAAGTTGTTCTCCTGCCTAGCTGTCCTGGAACCCCAGGAAGTCCTGGGGAGAAGGGAGCTCCAGGTCCCCAAGGTGAGAGATGCTGGGAACGGGCAGGGGCCTTGGGATAACCTGGGGAGGCTGGAGATGTAGCAGTTGGACTGAGGAACCTCCTTGGTGCCAGGCACCAGCATCCTAAGATCTTCCAGGTAGGTGGTATTGTCCTTGCTTTGCTGAGAGGAAATGAGGGTCAGGGAGGATGTTTTTTGCCTCCAAACTCAGAGTCAGGAAAGGGTACAAATGAGATTGGAAACTTCTGGCTCCAAGTTCCTTGTTTCTTTCGGTTCTGGGCATGAGGCAGCACTCATGGCATCTCTGCTTCTGGGATTTCAGGGCCACCTGGGCCACCAGGCAAGATGGGTCCCAAGGGTGAGCCAGGTAAGTGTGTGGGACTGGGAACTCCCTTCCTTTCTTTGCTCTGTCCCCAGACTAGAAGATGGGATGTTTCTGTGTGGCTGCTGCTCAGCAGTGGGCTATGATTGCCCATCCACTAAGGGCGGAAGCCTGGGAGCAGTGGGGAGAATTAGAAGGGCCTGAGCCCCACCCCACTAGGTGTGCTTGAACCTCACCTTGGAACCAACACTTGACCCTTCTCTGGGACAGGAGATCCAGTGAACTTGTTCCGGTGCCAGGAGGGTGAGGTGGCCTTCGTAGGAGCCAGGAATCGGAAATCGGGCAGTGCCCTGGTGTTTCAGGGGCCCCCAAATGTGGCCCCACCCCTCCCCACAGCCCTCCCTAGAACCCCTCTCCAAGGGAGTCACAAGGCCTCCTGGAGTCCCACACTTGTTCCAGTGTCTGGGTGGAGGGGTTTGGGAAATAACTTGCCCTCCACCCCACCTGGTGGATCTCTCCTTTCCTAGGCCCCAGGAGCTGTCGGGAGTTGCTGAGTCGGGGTGCCACCTTGAGTGGCTGGTATCGCTTGTGCCTACCTGAGGGCAGGGTCCTCCCAGTCTTTTGTGACATGGACAGTACAGGAGGTGGCTGGCTGGTGAGTGATTAAGCGGAGCAGGCTCAGTGGTCACTTCTCCCCTCATCCCCTAGGGGGAACTAGAGCCCACTGGGACGAGGCACCCTTTAGAGGATTTCAGGGACCCATAATTGCAGTGGGAATGTGAGGAGTAGAGTACTGACAGTGGAATGTGGCAGCAGTGTAATGAGAGACACATGGATTTAAAAATATTTAGGTGGGAAACTTCAGGGCTGAGGGACAGCTTGGCTTGGATAGGGAAGGTGTGGGAACAGCAGGATAAAGCCAAGTCCAGTTTTGGACCTCTGGGAGTAACATCTCTCATTTAAATATTTTAATTCTTTGTTTTTCAGACAGGGTCTCATTATGTAGCTCAGGTTGACCATGAATTTGCAGCAATCCTCCTGCCTCCACCTCCCAAGTGCTGGGATTACAGGTGTCACCACCACACCTGGCTAAATATTTTAATTTTTAGCATAGTAAATTCAAGCAGTTTATTTTGAGTATTCATCCGCTCAGGACTGACCATCTCCCAACAGCAGCAATAGCGCTTCTGTCATTTCAGTCTCCCCCCTTCCCCTACCGAGTTTACAAGGTTTCCATTCCTGGTGGAGTGTTGGCTAATAAAGGAACGGAGTTAGTACAGTATATTCACAGGCAAAGCTCACTAGGAGGAATCACATTCATCTACAAGCCCCCAACCGAAGGAAGGGAAATGCCTGCCCATCCCTCACCACCTCAACTCTCACTGCCCTTGTCCACACCCTGTGGCTGGAGCCATAGCTGGTGTGCCAGTCCCCTTTGACTCCCCAGGTGTTCCAGAGGCGACAGGATGGTTCTGTGGATTTCTTCCGCCCCTGGTCTTCCTACAAAGCAGGTTTTGGGAGCCAGGAGTCTGAGTTCTGGCTGGGGAATGAGAATTTGCACCAGCTCACTTTGCAGGGTGAGTTCCCAGTAAGGCGGAGGGGCCTACAGGGTATGGCCTGCCTCCCAAACTGCCACATTGGGATCCCAGGAGTCCACAATCCCAGCCTCCCCCTTCCTCCCAGGTACCTGGGAGCTTCGAGTAGAGCTGGAAGACTTTATTGGGAACCATACCTTTGCCCTCTATGAGTCCTTCCACCTCCTTGGGGAGAAAGACCACTACCAGCTGGCACTGGGCAGGTTCTTAGAGGGCACCGCTGGTGAGTGCGCCTAACTAACGTGGGGCCTAATGAGGGGTCAGGGTGGAAGGCTGGCTTCTTTCCCAGCACTGCCAGTACCTCCGTGAATGAGTCAGGACAGTATCTTCCCCTTGGTGGGCCTCAGTTTCCACATCTGAGAAATGGCAATCCTGGCAAAACATGGCACAGGAGGGAAAGAATTGGGGCCCTAGAGGAAAACAGTTTGAGTCCAACACTGCCACTTGCTAACTATGAGACCTTGGGCAATTCCCTTCCCTATCAGAGCCTGTTTCTTCCTCCATAAAACTGGTGGGGAGGTAGCATGGGGGTGTGGGTGCTACCCAAGGCTCTGTTGAGTGTTAGCAGTCTCTGCTCTGAGAGAGGAACCAGGAAAGGCTTCTTTCAGAGTAGCAGTGAATGCTAGGGAGGGATCTGAAAGGCAGAAGTGGTTATGGGGAGGGGCCTCAGGGGAGCCCCCTTTCCTGCTCAGGCACCCAAGAGCTTCCTCCCGTCACTGCTCAGTCTGCTGACCAGGACTGTGATGAGATGAAGGAACTAGAAGGAAACTGGGGATTCTGGAGGGTAAGGCAGGGGAAAAAGCTGGTGAATTGGGAGCCAGATAGTTCTAAGTTCAAATCTCATTGCCACTGACTAGCTGAGTGGCTCTGGACAAACATCTGGCCCTTTGGTGCTGCTCTTGTCTCAAGGGGTCTGATAATATCTCCAAGGTAAAAATCTCCAAGAGTGCTAGGCATGGTGTGGAGTGCTAAGGTACCTTCCGGCCTCTCCCTGCAGGGGACTCCCTGAGCTCTCACAGTGGGAAGCCTTTCACCACTTTTGATGCTGACCACGATTCAAGAGAGGGCAACTGTGCAGTGGTTGTCCATGGTGCCTGGTGGTACGGATCCTGCTACCGATCCAATCTCAATGGGCTCTACGCAGTGTCTGAGGCCACTGCCCCCAAGTATGGCATTGACTGGGCCTCAGGCCGAGGCGTGGGCCGGCCCTACCGAAGGGTTAGGATGATGCTTCGCTAGGGCACCCTGGCAGACAGTGCCCTTATCTTTTCTGTGCAGCTTCCGGACCCTCAGCCATCTCCCCATTGCCAACCGCCTCTGCTTCCCTGTCCACATCTAAAAATAAATCACTTTAACCCTTTACTGGCTTTCCAGACTCTCACTTACTGGGCAAAACCCTACAGGGCAGAGCAGACATAATTTCCCCATTTAAGGAAAAACTGCCTTCCAATCAGGAAAATAAAAGGGATGGCCTTCTAAGGTAATGAGGCTTCTGTCTCTGGAAGTGTGCAAGACAAGACCAAAGGGGCATCTAGTGGGGGAAATAGATGGAATTCAAGCATCCACTGACAATGTTGCTGGGCCATCTGGGTCCTGGAAGTGGACCCAGGTTATTTGTTTTTTGAGACAGGGTCTCACTATGTAGTTCAGGCTGGAATTGAACTTGCTGTGTAGCCCAGGCTGGCCTTGATCTTGTGCCAATCCTCCTGCCTCAGCCTCCCAAGTGCTGGGATTACAAGTGTGCACCACTACACCCAGCTAAATGAACAGTTTTGTGGCAGGAATTGCATAATTTTCTCATGCTCTCTGTTGCTCATGCTTGTCCCTTGTAAGTTGTCTGTTTTCCACTCCAGCCTCTGTCATGGGCCAAGTTCTCACCCCTACTGCTTTTTGGTTATTGCTTATCCCATGGGAAGCTGGTTTGAACCCAGGGTCGAACCAAGGAAGGTACATTTTTCTTCCATGAAGCAACAGAGCAATGAAACAACACTCACCAAGGTAGCAATTTACATATATATATATATATATATATATATATATATATATATATATTTATTTATTTAAATTCTTTTATTGGTACATTTTAGGCATACAACATGTTTACATTTATCATTGGGTGTTTGTACCTGTACATGATGAGTCTTGGTTCTTATTTTTTCCCCATTCCCTGGGTGCCCTTCACCCCCTCCACCCTTCCCCATTTACATAGATTTTGTTTCCATTTTTTTTTCTTTTCTCATTATTTTTCCTTTCCTTTCTTTCCTTTCCCCTTCCCCTCCCACCACCCCTACACCTTTGGACCTTTTAATATTTCAAATTATCAATCATTCATTTTAATCATTTTAATCCTTATTTACACTTTCAGTTTCTCACACTAGAGAAATTATTTGGTATTTACATATGTGTGTCCTATTTATTTCACTTAAGAGTATGGCCTGAGGGGCCAGGGATTTAGCTCAGTGGTTCTGCCTGCCTGGAAAGCAGAAGGACCTGAGTTCAACCCCCAGTACCAAAAAAAAAAGGAGTATGGCCTCAGTAAGCATCCATTTAGCTATAAATGTCTCTAGTTTCTCTTTCTTTATGGCTGAGTAGTACTCCATTTTATTTTTTTAAAAAACCCCACATCTTCTTTATCCAGTTTCCAGTTGATGGGGACTTGGGCTGTTTGCAAGCTTTAGCTATTACAAACTGTGCCGCTATGAACATGGGTGCACATATATGGCTGTGGTAGGATTCTTTTAATTCTTTGGGGAAGATACCCAGCGGGAGAATAGCTGGGTCAAATGGGACCTCTAGCCCTAGTTCTCTGAGGTATCTCCATACTGATTTCCACAGTGGTTGCACCAGTCTGCACTCCCACCAACAATGGAGAAGGGTTCCTTTCTCCTCACACCCCCACCAGCATTTGTTATTGGTTGATTTTTTGCTAGCAGCCATTCTTTGTGGGGTGAGGTGGAATCTCAGTGTTGTTTTCATCTGCATCTCTCAAATGACCAGTGATGTTGAACATTTTTTCATATGTTTATTTGCTGCCAAGCTAGCAATTATTGAGCAGTTCATTTGCCCAAAGCCACAATATTAAATGGTGGCAGCAACAAATAATTAAGAGTCTGACAGATAGTCCTGGGTTTGCATCCTGCTCTGTCATGTAGCTGGCTGATCCTGGACAAGTTACTCAACCTCCTTCCCAAGTCCCCAGTTCCTGATAGCAAGGTCCACTGAGGTTTATACCAGCGTGATACCTCTGTCACTAATTCACACTAGAAGTTTTTGGGGATTTGAAGTTGGGATGTGGTTGTAGCCCAAAGGTTTCTGAAATTCTCCTTCAAAGGGTGAGTAGAGAAATGTTTACAGTGGGAAGTGCTTTTCAGGCCCCAATGTCATGATTTGGGGAGAAGTCAAAGGTCAGCAGGGCTCCACAGCAGGCAGAGTTCTGGGGCAAACAGCTGCCTGGCCAGAGCTCTGAGGCCAGGTCCTGCTCTGGGCCTGAAGGATTCTGACCGCCCACTGTTCACCACCGTGTCTGTACACCTGATGCTCTGAGGTCCGCTCACTCAGCAGAGCTTGTAGGGCAGGGCCTGCAGATCCCACTTGTTCCTTATTCCAGTCCTGGGCACACATCTTTGGAGCCCCTGAGGTGAGAGCAGTCCACAGAGGTTGGCGTGAAAGGGGCACGGGCTGTTCCGGAAGCGGCCAGTGTCAGAGGTTCTGGCGGGAGAGGAGGGAGGGGCGAGGCCGAGTCCCCAGCCGCAGGGGAGCGGCGCTGCCTCAGGGCCGAGGGTGGAGCTTTCCCGGTCGGGAAAGGGCTGGGCTGGCCTACAAGTGAGGGCAAGACTAAGTGTCGGCCGGCGAGCGGTTCCCAGAGAAGTCTGGGTGGAGACACTGCCAACCCAATTCCGGGGATCTCTCTCACTGACTCTGAGCCGAGGATCGTCTGGTACCCGATTCCCGGAACCCAGTCCCAGATTTGAGATCCTCAAGGACCTTGAAAGTCTGAGCTGATTTCACCCTGGACTCCAGATTTCCGAAACAGGGCATCCGGCAAACCTCCGGACACCCAGATCCCGTAGGAGATTCTCGGAGCCCGACTGGATTCCGGCTCCGAGCTCCCTGGATTCACCGCGCCAGGCTCCCGCCCCGCCCTAGGTTCCTGGCTCCTGAGCGCCCCCGCATGGCGGGGCTGTGCCCCGGGTCCGGGACCTTGGAGCGCGCCGGCAGCTGCTGGCAGGACCCGCTGGCTGAGGCGCTGAGCCGGGGACGGCCGATCGCTGGGCCCCCGGGCCGGGGCTGCGCGCGGAGCCGGCCTCTCAGCGTGGTCTATGTGCTGACCCGGGAGCCCCGGCCCGACTTGGAGCCTGGGGCCGGAACCGAGGCGGAACCATTGCCCCTGCGCTGCCTGCGCGAGGCCTGTGCGCAGCTCTCCGGGCCGCGGCCGCCGCCACAGCTGCGCAGCCTGCCCTTTGGGACCCTGACGCTGGGTGACACCACCGCGCTGGATTCCTTCTACAACGCGGGTGAGTGCGGGGGCGGCGGGGCGGGGCCGAACTGGGTGCCGGTCTGGGGCGGAAAGTGAGTTCAAGCTAAAGGACCTGGGGCTGGGACGGCAGTGGAATTTAGGTAGGGGTCTGGAGCGTGGCTGCGCTCGCAGGGCTGGGCTCGGGATTGGATTTGGAGATCTATCTAACTACGGAGCTCAAGATTGGAGCCTAAGTACCCTACCATAGAGGCCATCCCTTCCTAGAGGGTTGGGACGGGACCGGGTTTAGAAACTCTAGGGCGGGACTAACAGAGGGGCAGGACTGTGGTTCCCAGGGGCCGCTGGAGAGCTCAGCCTTCAGTTGATCTCACGCAGAGATTTTTATTATTTTTGGTACTGGGGATTGAACCCAGGGCCTTCCCCTGAGCCACATCTCTAGCCCTTTTTAAAAATTCTGAGACAGGGTCTCGCGAAATTGCCCACGTGAGACTCGAATTTGCGATCCTCCTGCCTCAGCTTCCCAGAGTGTTGGGACTACAAGCCTGCACCACGGCGCCTTGCTTCTCACGGAGCTTTTGAAGGCTAATCCTGGAGGGGAGCGTGGACTAGGGAATGTGGGGCCCGTTCCCGACGGGCTGGACTTTAGAGGTCTCAGTATTACTACTTCCAACAATCGGGCTCGAGAGGCAGAAAGGAAAGCAAGGGGCCTGTCCGGTCTGGATTCTGGTGAGGCAATTTAGCAGCCGCCAAGAGTAGGAGAGGCGGGGGCGGGGCCAGAAGGCGGTTACCTCTCGGATCACCCCTCCCTCGCTCCAGCCCGGATGCCCGCGCCGCTCCATCCTTATTTATTCGTCCGAGAGTCCGGGAACTGTGCTTCCTGGACATCCATGGAATTGCAGCCTAAAAATGAAGGCCGACCCGACCACAAGGACACAAAGACGCATACAGAGTCATCAACTCACAAATCACATCCATGTTGACTCACACAGCCCTTTGCAGACCTTGTCACACAAAGACATAGCCAGACACAGTGAGTTACACATACACACATACAGGCACTGTTTTGTCTACACACACTAATGGTGCTGGCTGCTTTCAAGAGACTGGGATGAGGACCCAGGGGAGGGGACTTCTGCCTCCCACGCCTCTGGAACAGGATTTGAGCTGCAGCACACCCTCACCCCCCTCTCCAGCACAGAGCTGCCCCTGGCTTGAGAGTCTCAGCTCAGGGAGCCCAACTCCTCTGCAACACCACAGATGGCAGTACTGTGAAAGGGCTGGGGACCCTACAAGACGTACAGGCCTGGCACAGAGTCCCACAGCGAGGCGGGTGGGGTCCAGCAGGCATCCCCAGGCTCCTTCCCCACCTAGTGAGGCTTCAGGGCTCAGGACCTGCACCTCTGTGCCCACAGATGTGGTGGTGCTGGAGGTGAGCGGCTCCCTGGCACAGCCCTCCCTGTTCTACCACCTCGCCGTGCGTGAGAGCTTCAGCATGACCAACAACGTGCTCCTCTGCTCCCAGGCCGACCTTCCAGACCTGCAGGCCCTGCGTGTAGGTGGCGGGTGGCTCATGGGGACAGATGCAGGGTTGGGGTCAGGCCTACCCAGAATGCTAGTATCTGACTGTCTGCCTCCTGCAGGAGGATATTTTCCAGAAGAACTCGGTGAGCAGAACCCATCCCTCACTCCATTGTGCTCTTTGACCTCTGTTGTAACCTCTGACCTCTACTAATCTTCCTGGCCTCCTCAGTTACCTCTGACCTCCTGAAGACCCCTTGACATCCATGAGACCCTCTATTCCTTATAGCCTCTTTTATGAAATGTGATCCTTTCCTACTATTCTGATCCTCAGTGGTACTAACCTCACTCCCCCTCCCTGTTCCTCTCTAACTGTGTGCTGACCTCTGACCTCCACTAATTCCCGCCTCTTTCCCACCAGGATTGTGCTGGCAGCTACACACTGATCCCCTATGTGGTGACGGCCACTGGTCGGGTGCTGTGTGGTGATGTAGGCCTCCTGAGGGGCCTGGCTGATGGGCTGGTACAGGCGGGGGTGGGCACCGAGGCCCTGCTCTCTCCCCTGGTGGGCCGGCTTGCCTGCCTGCTGGAGGCCACGCCCACGGACTCTTGGTAATGGGGGGCTCACGGGGAGGGTGCACCAGGAGGAGTCTGACCTGAGGGACAGGCCCACCATTCTCTCTCCCTCCCTCTACTGGCCTGGGCATCAGTGGCTATTTCCGGGAGACCATTCGGCAGGCCATCCGGCAGGCTCGGGAGAGGTTCAGTGGGCAGCGGCTTCGTCAGGAGCTGGCTCGCCTGCAGCGGAGACTGGACAGCGTGGAGCTGCTGAGCCCTGACATCATCATGAACCTGCTGCTGTCCTACCGTGATGTGCAGGTCTTTGGTTTTCAGGGAGGCAGATAGGTGGTGGACATTTGTTATCAGGCAAATCCAAATTCAGCTCCCTGCAGCGTCACTTGCTCACTGGTCCTTTTTTTTTTTTTTTGGTACCGAGGATTAGCTCACTGGTCCTTTTGAGCAGATTATCTAACTTCTCTTGAGCCTCAGATTTCAGATTTTCAGATTTGAGGATGATGATGTCACTGCCTCCCGGGGAGTTGTAGGTGGGGAACACCCCCAGTGTGGCACAGGTGGCTATGAGGGCCTGAGGGAAGTGTGCAGAGAGGACAGTATAGGGGATGACAGGACCCTGGCTCAGGGTTCTCAGGGCCGGGGGCTCATCGTTCTAGGGCTGGCTATTCCCTCATGCAGGACTACTCAGCCATCATTGAGCTGGTGGAGACACTGCAGGCCTTGCCCACCTGTGACGTGGCCGAGCAGCACAATGTCTGCTTCCACTACACATTTGCTCTCAACCGGTGAGTGCTGGAGCAAGGCTTGGGTCAGAGCCACATGAGGTCTTCCTGCTCTGTGAGACCATTGCTGTCTATGTCCGCTGCTCTTCCAGGAATTTGCTGACCAGGGTACTGGTCACTGCTGTTCTGGGTAACTGCTCTCTGGTGGGGACAGGGGAGATGATATAGCCTTAGTATGGTCACAACTATCAAAGGTCACAGTTCCTTAGAGTCATTGCAGCTGGGAACCACTTCTATCTGGGGTCACTATCCTTAAAGATGTCCTGACCAGGTTCAGTGTCATTTTGGGGTCACTGTCAGACCCCTGGGGGGGACCCTGCTGTTAGGGCCTAGGGGACCCAGGACAGAGAGGGTCAGGGTCATCAGGCCAGTCCTCACCCCACTTTCCCCTGCCACAGGAGGAACAGGCCTGGGGACCGGGAGAAAGCACTGGCTGTGCTGCTGCCACTGGTACAGCTTGAGGGCTCCGTGGCACCTGACCTATACTGCATGTGTGGCCGTATCTACAAGGACATGTTCTTTAGCTCTGGCTTCCAAGATAGAGGGCACCTGGAGCAGGCTTATCACTGGTAAGGGCTACACGAGAGGGGTCAGAAGGCTGAGCTGCTAGGATGAGGGACAGGGCTGTGGGCATCCGTCCAGCCCCATGGCTACTCACCCCTGCCCCTCGGCAGGTACCGCAAGGCCTTCGACGTGGAGCCCAGCCTGCACTCTGGGATCAATGCAGCTGTGCTCCTCATGGCAGCTGGGCAGCAATTTGAGGACTCTGAGGAACTCCAGCTCATAGGTGAGCCCAATCCTGGTCCATTGTCCCCTCCTCAGGGCCCAGGGGACCCTGGGCAGAGGACAAGAAGATAGGACCATGGCCAGGAGCTAAGGCTAAATTCATTCCTTTTGGACTGCTCTGCCCATGCTCACACTGGAGTTCTCACCACCATTCCTGAGCTCACGCTTGTACCCATTACACACTGAATTCCATATCTGCTTCTGCCCAAACCCTCTCCTGTCCCTGGGCTCCTACTCCTACCTGAGATCTTGCCACATCTACCTTTTACATCCATACCTAAGTTCATGAGTGATGTAGCCCATGTTTGGGTCTTACCCACACGTGCACCTACACTCACTGGGACCCATGCCCCTCTCCCCCAGGCATGAAGCTGGGCTGCCTGCTGGCCCGAAAAGGCTGTGTGGAGAAGCTGCAGTATTATTGGGATGTAGGTTTCTACCTGGGAGCCCAGATCCTTGCCAATGACCCTATCCAGGTGGTGCTGGCTGCAGAGCAGCTGTACAAGCTCAATGCCCCCATATGGTAGGTGGCCCCTTCTGTATTCCTGGCTGGCCTTGGGCTAGGGGCTTCTGCTCCCTTGTCCATTAGCACTTTAGCTTGAGCCCCAGACCGTGACCTGATCAATGCCCATGGTGCCTGTGCCCATGTTCTGGCTATAGCCAAGGCAGTTTGCTCCTACTGACTATGGCAGAGGGTGCCTGAGCTGAGTTGGGAACATGACTGTGCCCCCAGGTACCTGGTGTCAGTGATGGAAACCTTCCTACTCTACCAGCACTTCAGGCCCACGCCAGAGCCCTCCGGAGGACCCCACCTTCGAGCTCACTTCTGGCTGCACTTCTTGTTGCAGTCCTGCAAGCCGCTTAAGACAGCAGCCTGTCCCCAGGAGAACCAGTGCTTGGTGAGGCCTGTGGGAGCAGGGCCCCGGGAGAGGGGTGAGGCCCTTCTCACCCCCCTGCCCTCTGCTGCCTCGATAGGTGCTGATCCTGGAGATGAACAAAGTGATGCTGCCTGCGAGGCTTGAGGTTCAGGGTGCAAACCCAGTGAGAACCGTGACCTTAAACCTGCAGGAGCCGGAGACCCAGGTGAATGAGTGGCTGAGGCCCTCTTCGCTCAAGGCTCCACTCCGCTCTCTTTGAGGCTTTCTCCCATCCCTAAGCCCCTCCCCAAACCCTTTTTCTTCTCTCAGGAGGGGCCCTCCAGCTGGACCTTCCCCGTGCCCTCCATCTGCGGAGTCAGGTGAGAGGCAGGACCCCGAGGGTGCGTGGCCACCTGGCCACCCCGCCTTCGCCTGCCCTAATCCTGCCCTCCCCGGCCGCTTCTTTCCCCAGCGCCTCCAAGCGCGACGAGCGCTGCTGCTTCCTCTATGCGCTTCCTCCGGCCCAGGACGTGCAGCTGTGCTTCCCCAGCGTCGGGCACTGCCAGTGGTGCGCTCAGCCTTTCGGTCCCGGCACTCCGGGCAGGCTTGCCCAGGGGAGCGAGGGAAAAGGGTGGGGAGAGGACTGTTCGCTCCCAAGGTTCCCCTCGCACTGGCCTCACCTCCGACCCCGCCCCCAGGTTCTGTGGCCTCATCCAGGCCTCGGTGAAGAATCCAGAGTCCACGGCGCCCGCGGAGGAGGCAGGGGGCGTAGGGGAGGTGCTGGAGGTGAGGACGTGGAACTGAGGGCTCTAGGAGGGAAGCTGGGCTGAGGGCTCTGCCGAACCCCGTCCTCCTTGCTCTGCAGTTTGATTACGAATACACTGAGAATGGCGAGCGGCTGGTGCTGGGCAAGGGCACATATGGGGTGGTGTACGCAGCCCGCGATCGGCACACGAGGGTGCGCATCGCCATCAAGGAGATCCCGGAGCGGGACAGCAGGTGCAGTGTAGGAAGCAAACTGGGGAGACCGGCTGGTGTGGGTGTGGGTGGGGGGACGATCCTGGGGCACGGCCTGGAGGCGCGGATCGGGTAGGCACCTCCGCTACATCCATCCCAGTCCTCTCTCCCTACTTCCCCCAGATTCTCTCAGCCCCTGCACGAAGAGATTGCCCTTCACAAACGCTTGCACCACAAGAATATCGTGCGCTATCTGGGCTCAGCTAGCCAGGGCGGCTACCTCAAGATCTTCATGGAGGAGGTGCCTGGAGGTAGTTGCTCTGCGTGGGAGGGGAGTGAAACCCCAGTGTGGGGCACAGGAATGGAGTCAGGAAGGGTGGAGAACCCTAGGGGGGAATGAACCCTAGCGTGAGTGGGTGGCTGTGCCCAGGTGGAGTCTGGGCCATGGCATGGCTGTACCTGAGCCTTGAGCAAAGGTATGAGTGCCAACCGTGAACTTGGACTGTATCTGTCCAGGCAGCCTGTCTTCCTTGCTGCGGTCAGTGTGGGGACCCCTGAAGGACAACGAGAGTACTATCACTTTCTACACCCGCCAGATCCTGCAGGGACTCAGCTACCTACACGACAACTGCATTGTGCACCGGGACATCAAGGTGGGCCCTGTGTGCTGGGGGTGGGGGGGGGGGGTGGGGTGGTACTCGTGGTGGTGTGTTACAGAGACTGGCAGTTTAGATTCAGTGGGAAGACCCTTTGCAAAAAGTGAGGAAATCATCTGGGAGTTTCCTTAAAGGAGACAGGTTCAGATCTGAAAAGAAACCAGGCACCAGCTCCCAGAGGGGCTTATATGTGGGTGGCAGGGGGAGGATGTTGATATAGGGTGAGCCAGGCTGGGATCCCCAGGAAATGGATTCCTAGGATGTGTGTCCAGTTCTGTGCCGGGGACCTAGCCCAGTGTCCACTGACCACAATGTCGATGCCTTTCAGGGGGACAATGTACTGATCAACACCTTCAGTGGGCTACTCAAGATTTCTGACTTTGGCACCTCCAAGCGGCTAGCAGGCATCACACCCTGCACTGAGACGTTTACAGGTACCAGGGTGTGGGAGTGCTGAGTGGGCAGCAGAGCTCTTAGAGCCTGGGAACTGGGTTTTTTTGGGGCATGGAATTAGAGTTCTAATAGGGGATGAAATCCAGGGTAGGTAATTGAGCCAGGGGTGGGGTGATAGAATCCAGAACTGGGGCTCAGATAACTGGAAAAGTTGAGCTTAGCATATAAAATGGAGTGCACACGTGTTGATGCAGGTTGAGGTGAGTGTTGGGGGCCAAGATGGATGGTAGAATTCAGAGGGGTACCTGGATGTGATAGCAAACACCTGTAATCCCAGCAATTAAGAGGCTAAGGCAGGAGGATTACTGTCAGTTTGAGGCCAGCCTGAACTACATAGAGAGACTCTGTCTCAAAAAACCCCAATAATAATAATAATAATAATAATAATAATAATAATAATAATAATTTGGGGGTTAGTTCAGTCCAGGATACATGATGGAATGCTCCTATGGTAATGGAGTCCATGAATGTGATGAAGCCTAGCATGAATGATAGAAGCCTTAGCAGGCAATGGAGCCTATGATTGGTGATGAAACTCAGGATAGATGTTTGATGGCCAAGGTAGGTAGGAGATAGGAGCTGTTTGGGATAACAGGCTCAGCACAGGTGCAGGCAGCCAGAGGATGATGGAAACCCCCCTCCCCATGATAAAGCTGAGGTGGCCATTATTGCTCTTGCTCCCATTCTAGGGACCCTGCAGTATATGGCCCCAGAAATCATTGACCAGGGCCCACGAGGGTATGGGAAGGCAGCTGACATCTGGTCATTGGGCTGCACTGTAATTGAGATGGCCACAGGTCGCCCACCCTTCCATGAGCTAGGGAGCCCACAGGCTGCCATGTTTCAGGTGAGACACTGTGGGGCCTGACCCATGGAGCTTGGGCGGGGCTCGGCTGGACCTTGAACATCTCTTATCATAACTCTTGTCCTCCCTGTCCCCCTGCCAGGTGGGGATGTATAAGGTGCATCCACCAATGCCCAACTCTCTGTCTGCTGAGGCCCAAGCCTTCCTCCTCCGAACTTTTGAGCCAGACCCCCGCCTCCGAGCCAATGCCCAAGCATTGCTGGAGGACCCCTTCCTGCAGCCTGGAAAGAGAAGCCGCAGCCCCAGCTCTCCTCGTCAGGCTCCTCAGTCCTCAGGTGCTATGGGGGTGGAGGAGGTGAGCAGGCTGGAGAGCTGAGGAGCTGTGGAGGGGGAGCTCTGACAGCTTGTTCCCTCTCATCAGATGCCCCTTCGGCTGGTCCCACTCACTCAGCTGACATGACCACCCAGTCCCAGACATTCCCTAGGCCTCAGGCACCCTCTCAGCAGCCACCCAGCCCTCCGAAGCGCTGCCTCAGTTATGGGGACACCAGCCTGCTCCGGTGAGCCTGGGGTCCTTGAGGGGGTTCCCTTCATCTGGCTTTCCCTTTGTACCCCACCCCCTCACCTCAAAGCCCTTCTTGGGGACCTGGGCACCCTGACCCTTGCAAGGATGAATCTGATACCTACTGCCCTCTCTCAGACGCTTTTACTTCTATTTACTGTGCTCCCTTCCCCAGTACTGGGTTTAATCTTAGCCCCGTGAGGTAGAATTAAAGTAACAGCCAGGATCTGGACCTTGTGGCAGAGGTGGCTGGATGCTGTTGCCCGCCCTCCACCAGACGCTTCCCATTGCACCTAGGGTGCCCGAGGAGGGCGGAGTCGAGGAGCCAGCGTCCCTGGAGGAGAGTTCAGGGCTAAGCCTGCTGCACCAGGAGAGCAAGCGTCGGGCCATGCTCGCGGAGGTGCTGCAGCAGGAGCTGCCCACGCTGGCGGAAAATCTGCTCCTGGAGCGGGAGCAGGTGGGCGGCCTGTCCGGGCGCCCCCTGGTGGTTGAGTACAGACAGGACTGCTGATGGCCTCTCCACCAGAATCTCTCCTACCTGACGGCCCCTCTCCCCTTCTCAGGGTACCCGGCTAAACAGGACTCATGTGGAACAGCTGCTGCGCTGCCTCGGTGCGCACATCCACACCCCCAATCGCCGGCAGCTGGCCCAGGAACTGCGGGTGCTGCAAGCACAGCTGCAGGCCCAGGGCCTTGGGCCTACACTTCTGAGTGGACCACTCTTCGCCTTCCCAGATGCGGTAAGGAAGTTTCCTTGCAGTTAGGGCTGCTCAATAACAGATAGTGAGCTACCTGTGATTGGAAATTGGCCAAGGCTTGACGCTCTGAAATTCCACATGAAGACAGGGTGTCTGCCCCAGTCCCAGCTCTTCCTCGGACCTCAAGCCCACCCACCCCCCTTTCCTCCAGCGGAAACTCTCAAGGCCTTTCCCAACTCGAGCCCCACCAGGGTTGTCAGCGCTTATCCACGTCCTTCCTCTCCCTCCAGGTGAAGCAGATCCTCCGCCGGCGCCAGATCCGCCCACACTGGATGTTCGTGTTGGACTCGCTGCTCAGCCGCGCCGTCCGGGCAGCCCTGGCTGTGCTAGATCCGGGTAGGAGGAGCCGGTGCCCAGCAGCCGGCCAGTGAGGGTTTCACCGGGTACTGCCGAGGGGTGCGGGAGAGGCCGGAAGGAGCGCGTGTGTGATGAGACATCTCCAGGCCTGGCCCTGTCTGGTCCCTCTCAGAGTCTCCTCGGGCAACAGTATCTGGGGGTCCCAAACCGGTGTCCTTGCCCTGCCTGAGCTCACCCTACTTGGATTGGCAGAGGTAGAGAAGAAGATGGTCTCACCAAGGTCAGAGGAGCTGAGCAAAGACTGGGAGTCCCAGCAGAAGCAGCAGGAGACCTCGCTCCTGACAGAACCCGAGCAGAGCCCCCCCCTTACAGTGCAGCTGGGCCTCTTGCGGGCTGAGACTGACCGGTAAAGCTCATCACAATGGCCCACAGAACCTGCACAACCCTCAACCCACTCCCCACTCCATTCTCCTTTTGTGCTTCAACAGGCTTAGGGATGTCCTGGAGGAGAAGGAACGGGAGTGCCAGGCCTTGGTGCACCGGGCACTACAGCGGGTGAATGAGGAGGTCCAGACTTATGCCCTGGCCTCAGAGCCTCTGGGTGAGCTGTCCTGGCTGGAGGAGCTGGTGTGGGTGTGAGGTGGCCTCCAGCGGAGGCACCACTAGGCTCATCTCCTGACTTCTTGACAGCATGTCTTCCAAAGGACCAGAGCCTAGTGCAGTGGCTACAGGACCTAAGTGTGGATTCAGGGACCATCCAAACGGTGAGGGGGGAGCTGCTGGCTATCCCTGACCCCCACCAAGCAAAGACTGCTTCTCTGTCCATCTTTCAGCTCTTCTCACATTTCCCTCTGCTTGCAGAGGCTCTCAGCCCTTAATGTATTCCCACCCTGATACAGAGGGGAAAACTGAAGCCTTAGCATTGTGATAGTAGAACAGAACTAGTACCTGGATCTCCGGACACATCTGTCTGTAATTTTCTCTCTATTTCTGTGGGTCTTTGTCCACAATCAGCTGCTGAACCACAGCTTCACCCTCCAATCCCTGCTCACCTGTGCCACTCGAGATGACCTCCTCTACACCCGAATCAGGTACACCTGGGCCCTTCAGGGATGAACCACACACACAGCCTGATGCTGGCCACAGCCTGACCCTGGCTACAGGCCTGACTCTTTCTCCCTGGAAACCACAGGACCACCAGTGTCCCCTGGGGACAGAGGTGGCACTGGGCAGACAGTGGGTCCCAGAGAGCTGAGGCTTTCTTCTGGCTGAGCCACACTGAGCCCATTGCCCCCAGGGGAGGGATGGTGTGCCGCATCTGGAGAGCCATCTTGGCAAAGCGAGCAGGATCCATATCAGGAACCCCTGGACCCCGAGAGGCTGAATGAGGGCACCAGAGCCAGGACAGGCACAGATGGATGGATAAATAGAGAAGATATGAAGCAGCTTCTGACACACCTGTCCCAGGACCCACAGGCAACTGCAGGAGGCTGGGGTCAGAGTAGGGCCCAGGCCCAGCCCCAGTGTGGAGAACCACCTACAGAGGCACCCAAGAGCACCAAACATGACCAAAGACTATTGAACAGTACCCTTGTCTCAGCCCTTTTGGAGGGGGGTGTGTGGTGTCCTGGGAGTGGCCCGGCCCCTTGAGGTCTTTGTTTCTATGCCTGAGCTTCCTTAATCTGGTCCCTTTCCCTTCCCACCATTTTCCTCCTTGAATTTTACCTCCCTGTGCAACATTTCCAGCAGACAGCAGCCCCTTGCTGATCTCAGAAGAAACTTTATTGACTTTAGCCGAGGGCAGGCCCAGGGATGGGGGCCCTGAGAGAGGGGCTGCATATAGGGCTAAGCCCTGGGGACCAGGTTGGTTCTGAGGGGTAGAAGGCCATCCACCCACTCACATGGCCGCTCCAGAAGTGTCTGCCAGAGCCGTTTCTCCTCAGGTGTGGAGTCCATCCAGGGCACCTGGAGCCCGTAGCTGCTGCCTGGATGTGGGTGGGCACAGGCGGAGGGCATGGTCACACTGGACACATTAGGTCCCAAGAGGCACCTGCCTGCTCCCAGATTATGCATTGTGCCCAGTCACCCCCAGATTGATGGCAAGAGCTCAGAAAAGGGCAGAGAGGTACCCAAGGCCACACACTGAGCCCCTGCCTCCAGCTTGACCCCCTTCAGGGCCCCGCTCTGCTTACCAGTACCCAGGCTGAGGCGTGTGCCCCCCAGCTGGCGGCTGGCCAGGGCCTCATGGTCCCAGAGAGAGAGCTCGGCACAGGCCTGGCGTAGATCAGCAGGCCCAAAGCCATCGTAAACCATGGTGTGGTTGAACACCGGGCTGAAGCTGTGTCGAACCACCCTTGTGCGCTGGCGGCCAGCTCTGCTGTCATCAGGCAGCACTGAGCTGTGGGAAAGGTGAGGTGGCATCAGGTGACTTCCCCCCAGCCCCGAGAGCCAGTGGCCTATCCTTTCTCCCTCACTTACGTCCATGTTCCCTGGCTCAGGCCTTAGACCTGGCCTCTAGCCTCACTGCCCTGGGACTTTCACACGGTCTCCTCTGAGTCTCCTGCCTTTAAGTTTACAACTCCCATTCCTAGGATAGAGCCTAGAGCGATGTTTCTGAAATGTAATTTTCTGCTACTCCCTGGTTCAGTGACCTTCATGGATTCCCTGTTGCCTCTATACCCCAATTAGTTTCCAAAGGTTTCAAAGTCTTTCTGCAAAATAAAATATTGCTCAGAAGTACAATAACTGAAAAAAAAAAAGTACAATAACTGAAAGAAAAACAATGGAAGCCCAGAATCTGATGAGCCTGCCTCCATTTCACTCAGAGGGGCAGCACCTGGAAGAACCCCTTTTTTGTGGTACTGGGGATTGAGCTTGGAGCCTCTGCACTGAGATACACCCCTACCCCTTTTTATTTATTCATGTTTTGTTTTTTCTTTGGTACCGGGGATCGAACTCGGGTCCTTGCGCTTGTGCAGCAGACGGCAAAACCACTGAGCTAAATCCCCAGCCCCTATTCATGTATTTTTGAGACAGCATCTTGATAAGTTCCCCAGGCAGGAATCAAACTTGTGATCTTCCTGCTTCAGCCTCCAAAGTGCTGGGATTATAGGTGTGGCCTTCACACCCAGCTCTGGAGGCACCCCTAAAGATCCCTCTAAACTTACTTTGAAAACCACTGGGGGTGGAGGTATAGCTCAGGGGTAGAACCTAGGCCTAGGGAAACCTCAGGCCCTAGGTTTTGGGTTTTGTTTTTTTTTTTGGTACTGGGGATCAAACTCGGGACCTTTTGCTTGCAAGGCAGGCAATGGAACCACACAGGCCCTAGGTTTGATCCCCAGCATATGAGGGAAAAAACAAACAACTCCCTGAATTGCAAGTTCTGGTCCAGCCCCCTGAACCTGACCTTCCATCTTCTCCATGGAGGGACCCTGTGGCCTCTCAGTCTCAGCTCCTGCAGTCACCACCAGTCTCCCTGGAATGCAACTCCTCAAAAGTGTCCTCCACTTTCCCTACTCCAGGCCTTTGCCTGAGCCCCAAGCTGGGCTGGTGACAGGGTGGAGTGTTGAGGATGCTCCCAGGTCAGAGCCCCACAGTTGGCTAAGGAAGGGCAAGCAGGCAGCAGCATGCTCTCACCATTGCACAAAAGTGTCCGGGGATCCTGAGCGCAGCGGCATGAGGTTCTGAGCTTCCTTTACCCAGAAGTGCAGCTCCCCACTCACAGGCTGCCCCCCACCTGCGGAGAGCTCGGCTTAGGCCCTGGGCTCAGTCCACCTGGATCAACAGGGCTCTGTTGTCACCCAGGCCCATCCAGCTTGGCCTCTCACAGTGGGTCACTCACCCTCTGAGCCAGCAGGGACATACTTGAGGGACAGCGAGAGGAAGCCACGGCTGGGCAGCTCCTTGGGAGAGGGTGGAGCCTGCAAGAGCCAGGGAGGAGGGCTGGTCAGGGGGCAGGGACCAGCAAGGCCTCCAGACACAATGGGGTGTGGTCAAACCGGCCCTGGGCCAGCCTTGCTGTAAGGGTGAGAGGCAGACGAGGCCTGGCTGGGAGGGAGGGCGTGGGGGTAGAGGGAGCTCCAGGGGGAACCCTATGCAGGCCTCACTGCCCTACCCGGGGCTGCAGGGGGAGCCAGGTGGGCCCGGAGTCCCAGTTCCACGTGTCCAGGGGCACTTCAACTTCTCCCAGAAAGATGTTTCGGCCCAGGCTTTCACGGTGCCACACAGACAGGCTCAGCACACGACCTGAGAGCTCGTCCTGCGGGACAGAGTACTGGGGACAGGAGGTGGCTTTAGTGCAGCACCGCTGGTGGTCCTGCCAGGCACCAGCAGGAGGCATCCAGGGGAGCCCCAGGGACATTAATGGGGACAGCTGTAGAGTGCATCAACCGGGGCCTCCTGGAAACAAGGACTGGAGCAGCAGCCCAGGTGGAAACTGGCAGCCCCTGCCATTTCGCCCCTCAGGAAGAGGAGCCCTGTTCCTTAATGTCTGCAGCCTCACCCGGAGAATCTCGTTGAAGACTGGATTCAGATTCCGTTTCTTCACAGCTGTCTTGCGCTTGCTCTGCTTATCTGGGTGGAGGTAGCTTTTGACATAGCTGGGGCAAGGAAAGGGAGGGCTGGAGGTAAGGAGAGGGACCCAGGCAGAGCCTTCTCCCCTGCCTCTGGGACCTCCCCAGCCACCATCCACAACACTGTCCTACCTTCGAGGCCTCCTAATTTACAGAAATTACCTCCTGAATCCCCATGTCGTTACCCCCTCCCTTTTGGGGGGCAGGGTCTTGCTAAGTAGTTAGGGCTGGCCTTGAAGTCACTACTAGCCCAGGTTGGTCTTGAACTAACTGGGAGTGATCCTCCTGCCTCAGCCTCCCGAGCGCTGGGATTACAGGCCTCCTCCACCGTGCCCGGTGTCGATCTCAGTTTGAAGACAAGGAAACTGAGGCCAAGGAAAGTTGATGTTGGGCTGGTCTGTGAGAATGACTCCTTTGTACCCCCAGCCTCTCCCTCGTGGGTACCCTCTACAGCCCTGCACCCCGCACTCACGGGTCGGGGCGGGCACTCACGGGTCGGAGCGGCGGCGCCGGGCGGCGGCCAGCCCCTGGCACTGGATCACGTGCACGCGCAGCTCTCGGGCCCCGGGATCGTATCGCAGTGCGAAGTTCAAGGAGCCGCACACCTGCAAGGTGCCGCCCTCCACCTCCCCGGACAGGCTCATGAGGCTGCCGCTCAGCTGCAGGCAGGGGTGGGGGAGGTCAGAGCCCGGGTCTGGGGGCTCACGTTGGGGTTGGCGGGGCTCAGGGGCTTACACCCGGGAGCGCAGAGGAGCAGGGAGGGAAAGGTAGAGGGGAGAGCCGGCCCCCAGGTCTTCCCGCACCCCTCACCGTGGAGGAGCTGAGGCTGGACACGGAGGAGCTGCTGCTAAGCATGCGGTCAAGTGAGGGGCTGGGCCCCGGGGCCTCCCCGTTCTCCAGGGTCTCGGACGCCACCTGGACCTGAAGGGCGGGAAAGTGACCGGGCGCCTGCTAGTTCCCCGCCCCTGCCACTACCTCCGAGGTGTCCACGGCTCGCAGCCCGACTCCCGCCCAGAATCCGCTCCGGGTCTTGCGAGCAGCGGCGGGCCGCTCCCGCCTACCTGGGCCGCGGGCAGTGGCTCTTTCCTGGTCTCCGGCAAGGGCTTGGGCTGGGGCTCTGGCACCGCCTGCTCCGCTTCCACCTGGGCACCCCCTGGGCCGGGGGCTGGGGCAGAGCACAAGCTGCTGAGCAGGCTTCTCTCCTGCCCGCCCCTGAGCAAATTTGGTGGGACCGATTCACAACCCTGACGGCCTCCAGACCAAGGCCCCCAGAGCTGCCCTGGGGCGTGATGGGCACACAGTCACCGAGACGCAGGAGGAGGAATGTGGACATGGTGACTGGGATCACTAAGGGCCTCCCCACAACTTCTCTGGCTCCTAACGCAAACTCCCGCTCACCTTCCTGGATCTGAGGCTCCTCCTCATGATCTGAGACCTTTAGAGGGGCATATGATGAGGGAAAATCAGGTCCCTAAAGAAATCAAGGGGTAGAGGTCACAGTGGAGGCCAATGAAGAAAGGACCAAAGGTCATAGTGGGGTCAGGAGTCAGAGACGCCAGCTGGCTTCAGACTTAGGGCAGCCCTCAGAGCAGGGCTGGCAGCTGTGGCAGGACCAGTCTGGCCTGTATTTCACACCCTCACATCCCAAGGGCTGCCCCTCCGGGTGGGCCTACCCCATCCCCAGGCTTCTGGGTGGGGCAGTAGAATCTGAGTTCTGGCCTCACTTTCTGAGTCCCACCCATTGCTACTGGCTGCTTCCTTCAGAGGTCAGTCCACACCAGCACCTGACCAAAGTGGGTGCTGAAGCCCAGGTCTCCAGATTCCAGTGGAGGGGCCTGCTTCCCCAGCACATTCACCTGCACTGTAGGTCCTGCGCGTTATTAAACTGCTAAGAACAGATACTACACTTGGTCTTAGCCAAAAAGCCGAGAAGAGATGTGCTGTGCATTATTAGCTCACTCAGTCATTCAATACTCACATGAATCTCACCACGCCTCTCTTGAGGGGCCTCCTCCTCTGTGGGGAGCCTAGGATGAGGTAGAGCTGGTTTTTAGAGGAAGGGATTGGGTAAGGGCAGTCACCTCCCCTCTGTGACACCTCCTCACCTGGGCTCTATCTCCTCTTCAGTCTCTTTCCCAGCAGCCTCAGCCTCCCTGTCACTGCCCAGAGGCTGGTCTCCTGGGCCCAGGTAAGAAGTTCTGTGACTGCCCGTTCTCAGGAAGTCTAACTGTGACCCACAGGAGAGGCCCCTGGCGACAACGCTAACCCCATCCAAAGACACAGTAGGGGGCAGCTAGGACTGCAGCCCAGGGGCCCTCTCCCTGTGTACTCTACCCACCCACCCAGCACCCACCAGGTCTCCTCTCACCCCTAGAGCTCTTTTTCCTGCGGATAGAGGCTCGGACAAGGTCAGAGCCGAAGTGGGTGTGCTGGTGCCGTTGGGAGCGTGCCTCCTGGAACCAGTCTCCTGTCAGGGTCTTCAGCTGCCCGGGGTCTGCTAGCGAGGCCCGGAGCTTGCTGGAGGAGAGGGGAAGGCATGGCTGTCACTCCTCACTCAACCAATATTCCTGCCACCCAATGGGTCCCAGCTCTTCACAGCAAATCAGATGTGACCCCTGCTATGGGGAGACTGAATCCAGAATAGTCAAGGGCCCGGGATTTAGCTCAGTGGTTCTGCTGCCTGCCTCCCAAGCACAAGGTCCTGAGTTGGATCTCTGGTTCCAAAACAAAAACAAAAACAGAATCGTCAAGTATGCTATGGGGAGGTAGGTGCAATGATGAGTGTAAGAAGGGCGGGCTCTGTGGGAATCCAGGAGGTCTTCCCAGAGGAGGTGACACTCAAATTTTCTTTCTTTTTCTTTCTCCTTTTCTTTTTCCCATACTGGAGATTGAGCCCAGGCCCTCACACATGCTAAGCAAATTCTGAACCACTAAACTATATCCCCGGCCTTGAATTGCTTATTAAAGGACAAATTGGAGTTCTCCAGATAGAAAAGGATAAATATTCATTAAATGATTACTGTGGGCCATACTTACATAATTTCTCCTAATTCTGAGATAGGACTCCGAAGCTCCATCTTATAGATGAGGAGAATAGTGCTCAGGGTCATGTAAGTTGCCCAAAGGTGCATAACTAGAAGTGTCTGTCCTCCAGCTGTTTGTCGTGCCCCTCTACTGCTGTGTTCTTCCAGGAAGAAGGCACAAACAGCCTCAGCTTTGAAGTGAGGGTGTGTTCAGGGGCACAGAGCACCCATGTGGGGGTAGTGGGTATTGTGTTTGTTGTCAGGTTGGGGCTGAGGGGAAAGATGAGGTGGGGGAGGCTGGCAGGGCCAGTCTGGGAGGCCTTTGGTGCTGCCACTTGGTAGTGACTGGGAGGGGCAGGCCTAAGTGCAGGCTGGGAGGGAGGCTATGGAGGGAGGGAGCTGGTTCAGCCACCCGGAGAAGTGATGAGTGCTGAGCTGGCCCAGGGCAGAGGGGACCAGAGGACTCTTGACAGGCAAGTGTTGGTAGGAAGTACAGCAGGGGCCCCTCACAAACCTTCAAGGGCCCGAGACCCCTTCCTCCTGGCCAGCAGCCACCCTGCCTCACCTGACCCGCCCCTCGTCCAGCTGGCGCAGGCGGGCATCTCTGGTGAGGACATCGGCAATGGCCTCCTGCTCCTCCTCTGTCAGGAAGCTGAGGTCCAACAGTCCCTCGGCATCAGGCTCTGGGTCATGTGCCATGGGGAGGGAGGACAGGGCCCAAAGCCTCTCCTGAGATGGGTGGTCCCTCTGGGGCATCAGCTGGAGCCGTGCCCCAGCTGGGCACAAGTGGCTTCCTGGGGGCAGACCAATGGTCAGGTCAGTCTCTTCTCTCGAACACAGCATGTCTGCCCTTCTCTCCCCAAATGTGTGCCTGGTGGGAGATAAGGTACACTCCCTGGAAGGCTGAGGTCAAGGTCATAGCCCACGAACACACTCAGGGACGTATTCAAACCCTATTGACACACATGCACACACCCGGCAGCAGGCACACACAGACACACGTGCACACGTTGACCTGGGTGGGCGTGCGTGAATGCCTGCGGTCACATGTGCACACTGACACTTTGTGAAGACAGGCACAAGTGCACCCATGCCCCCACGAAGGGACCTGTGCAGACCCACCCAGGCTGCGCACACACATGTTCTTAAGCCATACAAAGCTGGCGTACACAAAGGGAGAGAGGGACCCGTCTAGATGTTCATCTGCACAAGAGTAAGTCCGTCCGGGGACAAATGTGTGTCTCTGGCTAAACTCAAATCCCACTTTTGCTTACACACATTGCCAGTCTAACTGGTTGCAAGTTCCTTGAAATTGGGGACAGGTCATCCCCCTCAAAGCCAGGACTTTGCACATAGCAGATAACTGGTATTTGACTGATTAAATGCAAAAATACACCTGCACACACCCAGGAAATTACACACCCACATGCACACACATAAACACACCCATTTGCTCATCCCCCTGCCCAGGGAGCCTCCCCACCTGGGCCTGCTCTGCCACTCTTTACCTCCACCCTGCCCTGGCCCATTTGGCTTTCCTGTGTGAGGCAACCTCCTCCCCAGCCCATACCCCCAACTTCCTCCCCTCAAGTAACCACAGCACCCTCTCCCACTGAGGCTACCAGCCCGGGGATGCCCCCACCGCCAGCCCTGCCTTCTTGCCCGGGGCCCCTGGGCCCCCCTGCTGTGGCCACATGGTTCCCTCACCCTCCACATCAAGCCCCGCTAGCAGCCTCGGATGGCAAAGCAGCTCATGCCCAGGCACCACCATGACTCGGAAGGAAAATTTTGCCAGCTGAGAGGGGCATATGGACGTGGCAGGGGGCACAGCACTAGATTATGGCTTCAGCCTGAGCCCACTGTGCAGTCCGTCCTCTCCTTCCCACCTCTTCCTTGCCAGGGCTCCAAGTAGGGGAGAGATGGGAAGAGGGCTGCTCAGTGGCAGGTCCTGGCTTGTGCCTGCTGCCTCCAGTGCCCTGTTTCCTCCCAGATGAGTCAGTGCCCAAGCTGAGCAAGCCTGTCCCCCTGCTGCCTGCCCTGAAGAGGCTGGGGTTTCCGCATGTCTGTGTCTATGGAACCCTGTGTACTCCTAGATGACAACTCTCTCAACTGCTGTGTCCGAGGTGCTGGCTGTCACACAAACAGCATTAGGCTCTTCTGGGCTACTTCTGTCATACACCGTGTGTTCCATGTTCGGTGTCTGGAATGGTTGGCATGTCTGCATGCTGAGAGTTCCAGGAGCCCATGTAGTTTGCGTGTGTCTCTGTGTTGTGTTGCTGTGTGATGCTCCCTGGCTGATTAGATTGTCCTGGTGTTCAGTGACTTTCTGGGTGACAGTGCTGTGTGGGTGTGTACACCATGTGCATTTCCTTTTTTGCTGTCTGCAAGACTAATCTGTGTGTTGTGTTGTGTGATGGGGTTCCTGGGGGCCACTACGCATGTGTGCGCTAAGGTGAGGGGACACTTGGCAGAACTGAACCTGCCCTTGTCTTGAGGTCTGCCTGGGCGAAGCCACTGGCATCCAAACTCAGTGTTCCCCTTCTTGAAATCCCGTCCCTTCCAGAGGCTGATCAAGCACCTGGTCCTCCCAACTGTTTCACCACTGTGGACAGACCCATTGGTACCAGAAGGGTCTACCTGCCCGATCAGTCCAGTCCCAGACATATTCCCGCCTCCCCCACCCCAGGATGCCAGAGGGTACCCAGGATAGCAGGTGCCAGTGCCTGCTCCTGGGGACACCAGCAGGGCAGGGGACCTGGCACCAAGGTGTTACCTGTGGGGGTCCAGTATAGGAGGACGCCTTCTTAGGTGGCTCTGGCTCCCCAGCGGGTGGGTTTTAGGGACCAGGGGAAGAGCTGTGAAGGCCTAAGGTTGAGTGGCCCAGAAGAGCAGCTGCCCCAGCCAGTAGGAGGAGAAGGAGGAGGGGGAGGAGGAGGAAACACCTCAGCAGGGCCTGGTGCAAAACCGGGCCTGGACTGCCGGCTCCCTGGGGTGCGCCCTGCAGCTGCTCTCCTGGAAGCCAGGGCCAGCTTGGTGGGTCTGCGGGGCCTGAGGCGTGGCCCCAGCTCCAACATACCCGCATCCTGTAATTTCGGCAGGTCCCACAGAGCCTTGGCCGACCGGGCAGAAAATGGGTAGCTGCCCCATAGCAGCCCCGCCCCACCCACGGAGGAGCTGATAGGAAACTGTTTTGAAAGCAAAGTTAAGACACTTTTCTTTCTAAGAACCAGAGTAATGGAAGGATTGCAGACTTTGCAGTTAGACAACCCTGAGCAGAGTCCCTGCTCTGCCTCTGTGACCTTCAGTAGGTTCCTTAGCCTGTCTGAGCTGCAGTTTCCTCCTATGCAAACTGTAGATAGCAGAGTACCAGGAGCCTATTCTACAGGAAATAAAGTACTGGTACAAGCTGGCATGAAGTAGGTGCCAGGTGTCCCTTTTCCAGCACAGACCAGCACTCATGTTCCTTTCAGCACCCCCATTGCCACTCCATGTCCACCTCTGAGGAAGTGCTGGCCACAGCTCTCTCTGTCCTCTCTGCCACCCTAGGTCCCACCTGCTTGAGAAGGCCTGGACTCTTCCAGTGCCAGGGTGAGGGTGCTACATCCTGTCTATGGGGAATCCCTCTGAGCACCTCATTCAGCACCCAGATTCTGCTCACCCTAGGAGAAGAGCTTTGGGCCATGGAGTACTTGGCTTTGGGACCACGATCCTTTGGGGCTGTCTTCAGTCTGGCCTTGGGCACAAGAGGTCACCCGAATTCCATTCCAGGCTGCCTACCCTGTCCCCGCTCCTGAATCTGGGGCCATGAATGACAGAAATTTCACAGACCTGGGAGGGGAGGTGGACAAGCGGTGGATTCTAAAGGGAACTTCATTCCTCCTCTCATCAAAACAAGCTCCCGTTTGAATGTCCTTACTATTTTCAAAAACTGAAGGTGACCTTCCATCCCATCTGAGGTCCAGCCTGCCCAACTTACATTTTGCAATTCAAACTTATTTTTCCTCATGTTAAATGGGGGTAATAATCCCTACTCAGAGGACTTTCACTACAACTCCTGCAGCCCCACACCCTCCTTTATTTTAAAGTACTGGGGATTGACAAGGCTTATGCATGCTAGGTAAGTGCTGAATCACTGAGTTACATCCCCGGGCCCATTCATTCATAGACAAGGTTTTCCCCAGGCTGATTCTGAACTTGTGATCCTCCTGCCTCAGCCTCCCAGGTAGCTGAGATCACATGCCCAGCTCCCTGCAGACTCAATAAATACATAAATGTGTTTACATATGCAGTATCTAGTGAGTGTCCACCATGGAGAGGTGATGCCCGTCTTCTCCATCAGGGCTCCCAGAGGTTGGAAGCCTAGGAGCTTGGAAGGGCAGATGCGGAGGGATGAGCAATTCCTATTCTGAGACGCTGAAGTCCTGTAAGCTCCTGGCACTGAACACAGATTCAGCCAAGGCGCTGGCAACCAGACCTCTGGCCAGCACTAGAGGTGTCCAAGGACACCAAGAGGGAAGGAGCTGAAGGGGTGAGCGAGCCACAGAGAAGGAGAAACAGTTACACCACCTGGACTCAAAACTCTTTATTATCCTGCCAGGCAGCCCCTCACAATGGAGCTCATGGGGCAGGGGTGAGATGGCCAGCATAGGCCCCTTCTGTCGACTTCTGGGGAGTGGCAGTCTGGTGGGAGGAACAGCCCCTCTCTGGCTCTCTGATGGCACTGGCTGCTCTGACAGGCCACCCACACTTGGGACTCAAGGGTGGCATCAGCAGCATGCAGCCTGCACCCCAGCTGGGGCCAAGTGTGGTCCATACCGCCTGCTCCGCACGTCAGCTCTGCTGGCCTCGCCAGCTCAAACTGCAGAGGGAGATGAGCCAGGTGCTGGGAGCCCCGGGAGGGAAGAGGGTGCTGCAGGGGCTGGAGAATGCCAGGAGAGGGGCATGCACTACCCGGGCGCAGACATCCAAAGGAGGGGCCCATCCAGCCCAATGTTGGGGAGGCATCGGGCAGCTCAGCTCATGGAGACTTAAGTGTCCCCGCCCCACCTTGAGACCAGAGCCAGTGACCAGAGAGCAGGCTCCCACTCCCAATCTCATCACAGGGTGGCCTCACTGGTGGGTCCTTGTGCACCGGGCACTGGCAATGGCAGGAGGAACTCTATAGAGGGAGGTGAGGCCGTCCCAACAGCTGGCAAGGAGGATGCCTCAAGGGTGGTGTCACCAGCCCAGGGGGAGGGGATAGGGAGATCAACAAGCAGACAGCCCTGTCCCATGCTTGTCCTCAGCACTTCTATTTCCCCAGCCCAGGGCCCATGTCCTATACAGCAGGCCCAGTCTGCCTTGGGGGTGAAGAGGAAGAATCTGGGGCCAAAAGGGTGGTGGCTGTCTCCTCAGGAGTTTGGTGGACTCGGGGCCACCTGGCAGCTATCACCGCAGGTTGAAGACCAGGCTGACAGTCAGGATGATGCCCAGGAGGAGGACAAAGGGCAGCCAGGTCTTCACAAAGGCCCCGATGCTAAGAGAGGAAGAACAGCAGGGTGAGTAGGTGAGGGGCCCTGAGCCCCATCCATTCACAACCCCGACAGGGCTGCCAGCCCCAAAGAAGAACCCAGAATCACTTCCACAGGCCCAAACTTGGTCAACATGGACCGGGCCCAGTCTGGTGCCCACTGTGTTGTACCTCCAGCTGCTGGTGAAGTCTAGATCCCTGTCAGAGCAGGAAGTATATGTGTACTCAATCTCCCTGGGTCCTAACGGCTCACCACAGCCACTAGGAGAGGACCAGGAACTTCCGCTTGGGTATGGAAGCCATATGTGCCTCTGGCCTAGTACCACATCTCACTGGGAGGAGCTGGTGAGTGTCTGCACCGTGCTGGGGCTGGAGCCAAGGGGCTGGCAGTCAAGGACTTTGGTTCAACTGTGCCTCTGCCTCAGTCTCAATGTGACCACAGCTGTGTTCTTCTCAGGGGACCTCTAAAAGCCTTTAAGGATGGAAAAAAAAAAGACTCCCAAGAGTCTCCTTTTCAGTAGCTTTTAAGGATGAGCACAGCTAAGAGGAAAGCTTGGCAGGCAGGCAGATTAGCCCAACTCTGTGTGGCTTCCAAGTCTGGGCTCTGCTGTGTCCACGCTGTGGGGCCATGGGAAACTCACTCAACCTCTCTGAGCTCTCTTTGCTGGGAGCTGGATGGTTTCTTGGACCTCATAGGCCATGAGCTGTAACTTCAAAGGTCTACTTGGGCCACCACTGGGCCCATCTCCCCAGAACCCTGGCTTTTACAAGGGATGCCCAGGAAGGGACTCTGTGGGCACGGTCACACCATCCTGTGTGATCTCTCTTCACACTGCCTGAGCAGCGGGCTCTGTGGACTTGTGACCTCACCAAGGAGCCAGAATCCCCACCCCCATCTCACCAAGGACAGCAGCGACAGAGGCCACAGCAGTTTCCCAAGGCCATCACAGTAAGCAGGTGATGAGCTGGACTTCAGCAAAGACACCTCCCTCTCCCCCAGGAACTCAGCTTGTCATTCTAGACCCACCACGGCTCCAGCTGGCATCTGTCCAGCTGTCCCTGCTGACTGAAGGACTCTAGAAATGACTGGGATCCTTGGAGGGGACTGTGCGAGTGGGCCCAGCTCACCTAACGTACTTCCCATAGAGCAGGCAGAAGAAGCAGAGGGTCACCATATTCCAGTTGGTACTGTTGTTGTAGTGCATCAGGTTCAGGGCCAATGCCACATGCGAGTGGCAGTTGTCACAGCAGAGGTTGTGCTGGAGGCACAGAACAGGATGTTAGGACAGGCTGGGGAAATCTCCCACCCTGGTCCCTGCTGGCTCAGCCTGCCTACCATGCGGTGCTTGTACTCCTCAGAGGCATCGTGCACAGCTGTGTCCCATGCATTGGGCCCGCTGGCATAAACCTGTGCAGGGTCCAACTTCCAGTACCTGAGGGGGACAGGGGGTTCTGGGCACCAGCTCACCTCCTGTGGCCTCCTGTGACAGCCCTGAGCTGGATGCTGAGGCTGAGGGGTAAGCCGGTTCTGGAGCAAAGTCACACAGCAGACAACTGTGACCCGAGGGGAGATGCCCAGTGCCACAGTGGATCTGGGAGGGCATGGGACTAACTCAGCCAGGGGTGTTATAGTCTGGGTGTGCGTCTCTCCCCATTCACGTGCTGAATCCTATCCCGCATGTGTAAGTATTTGGAGGCAAGGCTTTGGAAAGTGACTGGGCAATGCAGGAGGGGCTCATGAAAGGGATCAGTGCCTGTAGAAGAAGCAGGAAAGAGACTGCTCCCCTCCCCGCCACCCAATGTAAGGACACAAGAAGGTGCTGCAGGCCTTCACCAGACGTGGAATTTACCAGCACCTTGAGCCTGGCCTTCCAAATCTCCAGAGCTAGGAGAAAGCAATTTCTGTTGTTTATGAACCACCCACTCCATGGTGTTTTGTCATGGCAACCTGAATGGAAGAAGACAGGGTATACGAGAAGGCTCTCCAGAGGTGACACCTGAGTCTAATCTGAAAGAAGAGGGGTTAGCAAGTCACAGAAAATGGAGGTGGCCACTGTGGGCTGAGGAACAGCTTGAACAAAGTGAAAGGCACAACACTGTGCAGTGTGTCCCAGACACAAGTGACTGACTCAGAAGGAGAAACGGGGTGACAGAATGCTGGAGGCTGATGGAGGAGATACAGCAGGGGCCACATCATGCAGGGACCTGAAGGTCACACTGTGGGGTTTGCCCATCAGCAAGCATTCTCCCCAGGGCTCCCCACTCGCTCTGCTGGGGTGAGGTGGAGAGAAGCTGGCGAAGACAAAGCCTGTGAGCGTCAAGCTGGGTGAGGACAGCTGTTCCAAGCAACGCAGGGCCCAAGGGGTTCAGGGCCAGGAGCACTGGGAGACACAGTGCCCTCTAGCTCTGGTGTGGGGAAATGGTTTGGGGGAAGAGCCTAGAGACAGAAACCATGGTGGCCTGAACCAGGGGTCCCCAGGGGTTCCTGCCCGGGAAAGAATACCCTTCACACTGTCTTTGAAAAATTTTAAAAAGCTGGGCGTAGTGGCATGTGCCTATAATTCCAGCAGTTGGGAGGCTGGGGCAGAAGGATTACTGTGAGGTTGAGGCCAGCCTGGGCCACATAATGAGTTCAAGGACAGCCTGCACTTCATAGTGAGACCCTGTCAAAAGACAAAAACAAAAAACCACCTCAAACACAAAAAAACAAAATTGTCTTTGAAAAGCAGCCTAACTGCAAACACCCAGCTCAGAGGCCCCTGGCCCACATTTCGACCTGCGTGAGAGAGTCAGAGCAGGGTCAGGGAACTCTGCTCCACGCTGCCTCTGCTGTGGGACACCCACTCCTCCTCAGCCCCCAGCTCTCCTGGCAGCCTCAGGCCACAGGGCACAGGGCATCTACTGCTGCTTTGAGAAAACTGATGACTGAGCCACTGGCACTGGGTGAGCACCCAAGACTAAGGAAATGAAGACCAAAGCCCCCAACTAAATCAGCCCATCCAAAAGGGCCTGAACTGCTTTTATTCCCTCCAAGCAGAACTTACCAGCAAAGTTCTCAATGGTGGCCCTTTATTCTCCAATACTGGGGATTGAACCCAGGGCCTTTGCACTGAGGTACATCCCCAGTCCTTTTTTATTTTGAGATAGGGTCTGGGGATGTTCTTCAGTGCTGCCACGCCTGAGTTTAATTCCCTGTACCCGCCCCCCCCCCAAAATCTTCTAGTATTTTGAGATAGGATCTTGGTAAGTTGTCCAGGCTGGGGTGAAACTTGTGTTCCTCCTGCCTCAGCCTCCCAGAGTTCTTGGATTATGGTGTATCCCACCATGCTCAGCTCCCTAATTCCTTAAATGGTCTGTTTGCTCCTAAGGGGCAAGAGTAAGTCCAGCTGGTAGAGGGGGAAAGACCTGGCTGTGAGCCCTGCTACTATACTTCCTACACATGTGACCTTGACCATATCCCTTCTTTTCCCTCACCTTTGCCCTGGAGCAGAAAATGATCTCATCGAGCCGAGGCAAGGCCTGTATAGTCTACAGGTGAAGGCCAGCCAAGGGCTGGCATAGCAGGTGGTTGGAAAAAGACTGCTCTGCCCTGGTGGGCGCTGGCTGTCCCTCCCCTCACTCTCTGCCCTCAGAGTGCTGGCTCCTACTGCGTCCTAGAGGGCCTGGCCTGCAGCTCTAGGCGAGAGGAAGCTGGCCTGGGGGCCATTACACATGTCCCGTCACTTACTTGGCAGGCTTTCCAAAGGCCATGTTGTCCTCCTGTTGGGGGACAAGAGCAGAGGTTAGTGGGGAGCCGACATCCAGGCTGGATGACAAGCCTGTGTCAGTGGCTCAAGTGCAGTGACAGTGACGTAGATGGGGGTGTGTTAGGTGAGCAACAGTGGGGCAGAGGCCTGCTGGGGGCTGGCATGCTCGCTACCTAAAGAGCCAAAAGCAGCCCTTCTGTGGGAAGGAGGCAATGCGGCACCCAGGGAACTCTCTTGCCCTCTCTAAGCTTCTGGTCAGTCTTCTCTGGCCATTGGCGACAGGCAGGAGGCTGCCTTAGTGGCATAAACACCAGCACTCTGGCCTCCTGACCCAACAGTGATGGCCCACAGGGAGCCACCTGGTTGCCTACAGCCTGATCTCATCCCCGACCCCATTATTTTTAATTTTGAGACAGGTCTTATTAAGTCACTAAGCCACATAGGCTGTGCTCAAACTTTTGATGCTCCTGCCTCAGCCTCCCAGAGTACTGGCATTATAGGCACATGCCACCATGCCCTACTAGTGAAATAATTTTTAAGTGCAAAGTCATAGGCTTTATGTTAAGACAGTCACGACTACTGTTACTATAAAGAAGCTGGTGCCACCACACCCCTTCTCCCAGCTCTGATTCTGCAAATGGGCAGATGGTGCATGCTCATCCAGAGCTGCCCACTGGACCAGTCCTGGTCCATCCCCTGGGAACGGACCTGAGAATGCAGCTGGTTCATTCTAGAAGCCCCACCCCAGGAACCGAATCAGCCTCCCCCTACCTTGGCTCCCACCTTCTGAAGGTCCAGAGATGTGGTTCCTGGATGGTCTGACTCCACTCTTGCCTCTAAGCCCTACCCGTGTCTCTCACCCTAGGGGTGGGGGCAAAGGGCTGGGTCAGTTACTTAAGAGTCCTTCTGGCCACACTGCCCTCCCGGCCTGTCCTGGAGGCAAGAGAAGGGGGAAAGGGGTCAAACACTGGCGAGGGCATAGGGCTAGGGCCAGGGCTGCATGGCACCTGCATCTTCCTGGGTTTGGGGAGACAGGAAGCCTCCTGCAGGCAAGACAGGTGGGGCTTGCAGTGAACCTCAAACCTCCAGGGCCGGGCAGAACCAGGACTCACCGAGACAAAATAGGGGCCTGCGAAGTCCCGAATGACTCCCGTGGATGTGCAGATGCCCATGTGGCCGATGATGGGGAAAAACCACCTGCAAGGAAAAAGCACAGGTAAGGGCTGCAGCTTGGGTGTCTGTGGTCAGTTAGACAGGCACTGGGGACACTTCCTCCAGTGTGAGGGCCCTGAATGTAATGCTGTGACATGAAAGCCCATAGGGTGCTCCAGAGGAGCAGGAAGCACAGAGAGCTGCCTGAGAACCATCACACAACAGCGTAGCCCTGTGCCCAGCAGGAAGGCGAGAAGGGCAACAGCACGGACTGCAGGGAGGCTGAGGAGCAACTGCAACTCCCACCCACTCCTGGGGGAGTAGAAATAGTTCTATCGAGTTGGGAGTCTGGCACAGGACCCCAGGCCTCAGCAGTTCCACTTCCGGGAACACCCAACAGAAACAAATACTTGTGCCCATGCAGCCATGTACAAGAACTGTGATAACACTTTTAAGTAAAACAGCCAGAAACATTTGCCAAAACTAACTTAAGTCAGGATGTAGGTGTAGCTCAGAGGTACAGCACTTGCCTAGCATGTGCAAGTGTTATGGCCTGGGTGGGTGGCTGAAGGATTTATGGAGTAGGAAATGACAATGGTGGAAGATTAAGAAAAGGTAAAGAAAGAAAGATATAAAAGAACAAAGAGAAACAAAGGTGGGGCGAGGTGGGGCTCTAACTCTGGATGGAAGATAAAAGACCCCAAGCAACCTCAATGTGTTTATTTATAGTGGTAGGTAGGGGGAGGTAAAAGGGCTGGTCTGTAACCAGAGCCAGGAGAGTAGCTAAGGTTTGTAGGACTTCATGTTTGATGGTTTCTCTTTCTTTGGTACCAGGGATCAAACTCAGGACCTTGCGTTTGAGAAGCAGGTGAAGTGCCACTGAGCTAAATCCCCAGCTCATGTTTGATGGTTTTTTGACAAATGGGCAGAGAGGAAGACAGTCCTCTTTTCCACCAGGCCTTGTTTTATCATGCCCTCTTGTCTCTTTAAAACAAATTAAGCCTAGGGCCGGGGATTTAGCTCAGTGGTGCTGCCGCCTGCAAGCGCAAGGACCTGAGTTTGACACCCCCCACACCAAAAAACAAACAAAAAACCCCAAGATGTATAGAACTGTATGGAAAAAGAAAAGGATGGTTCCTAAGTCTGCACACCGGGTCACAAGTCCAAACAGTTTTCCTCAATCATAAGTCCAAACAGTCATTAAACAGATAGGGCATTAAATGAGGATCCTCATGAGTTTGAGGCCAGCCTGGTTACACAGTGAGTTCGAGGCCAGCCTGGTTACACAGTGAGTTCGAGGCCAGCCTGGTTACACAGTGAGTTCAAGGCCAGCCTGCACTACAGAGTGAGATAGTGTCTCAATACAACAACAAAAGAACAAACTGCTACACACAACAGACTCGCATGGACTAAAGCTGAAAGAAACCTTAGCCAAGAGTAGAAAAGGTACTCTGTTTACATCAAGTTCAAAGGAGGGAAAGCTTACTTAGGGCTGCAGGTCAGCAGAGGTGTTATCCCTGCAGAACTAGGTGGGAGAGGCACCCTGGAAACGCTGTGTGTAGTGGTCATATGGGGCTGAGGTGGTGTCAGCAAAGACATCCCAGAGAAGATGACTTTTAACCTTGACCTGTGAAAGGATGGGATATGGACATGCAGAAAAGAAAACTCCAAAGCTGGAAAGTATAGTATGTGTTTGAAGAATGGGAGGGGAGATACGAAGAGGAAGGCCAGGTCAGAGGCTACCAGACAGCCACACACAACCTCATGCATTCCAGATCTGTTACTCTGCTTTAATTTCTTTCCTTTATATGTGTGTGTGTGTGTGTGTGTGTATACATATACATACACATACATACATATACACACATACATATATATATACACACATATACATATATATACACACACACACACACATATATATATATATATATATTTTTTTTTTTTTTAATGGAGGCAGTCTCACTATGTAGTTCAGGCTGGCCTTGAACTCACTATGTAGCCCAGGCTGGCTTTGAACTCGCAGCGATCCTCCTGCCTCCCAAGTGCTGGGATTACAGGCATGCACTAGCATGTCTGGCTCTGCTTTACTTTCTTTACAGTATCCATGTACTATTACCTGAAATTATTTGATGACTGTCTTTTCCCACAAAAGTTCCATGAGACTAAATCTTGTTTACTATAGTAGCCTCTAGGGCAGTGCCTGGCATATAACTGCAATCAAATGTTTGTTAACTAAATGAACAAATGCCCTGCATTTAAGAATGAAGAGAGTGCAGCTAATAGGAGGAATAACATTTGATGTTCTATACACAGTACTGTTAACTGTAGTTGACAACAATTGTGTTTTTATTTTTATTTATTTATTTGGTACTGGGGATCGAACTCAGGACCTCAAACTTGCCAGGCAGGTGCTGTGCCACTGAGCTACATCCCTGGCCCAACTGTGTGTGTTTTTTTTTTTCTGGTACTGGGGGATCGAACTCAGGTCCTTGCGCTTGCGAGGCAGGTGGTGGAACCACTGAGCTAAATCCCTGGCCCAATTGTGTTTTTTAATAGCTAGACAAAGAAATGAGGTCTCAGGTGATGGATATTCCAATCCCCCCATCTGGTCTCATATATATATTAGTATTTACAGTGTGTGTGTATTCCCAGGACCTTCACACTGAGTCGCATTCGTAGCCCTTTTCTTTTTTACAACAACTATTTGTGATGGGGTCTCTCTCAGTCTCTAGTTGCCCAGGTTGAGTTTGAACTTGAGATCCTCCTGCCTCGGCCACCCAGAATGCTAGGATGATGGGCATTCACTAGCACACCCAGCTATGATCATTACATATTTTAAACAGGTATTGAAATGTCACACTGCATCCCATAAGTCTATACAATTACTATGTGCCAATTAGAAAAAAGGAGGGGAGGGCTGGGGATTTAGCTCAGTGGTTCCGCCGCCTGCCTCACAAGCACAAGGACCGGAGTTCAATCCCTCCCCGGTACCAAAAAGAAAAAAAGAGGGGGAGTTTGGTTCTAATGTTGGATCTAGGTTTAGCCTTGGGCAAGTTATTCATTCCTGCCTCTCTATGGACAGTATTAAGTACCTTGAGGGGTGGCTAGTATAAGGATTAAATAGGGTCCACTTGCCAAATGCTTAGAGTATTGCCTTATATTTGGTAGTTTCTCAAGGTTATTATCTCCAAATATTCAATAAATACTTGCTTTCTCGCTGACTGAACTGACAAAGAGTAAGTTGTTGAAGATCCATCCCTAGGATGGACAATCAGAATTATGGGCAAGTAGCTCACCTGCCTTCTTAGACCCTAATCTCAGGATTTCCGCTGGCCTCAACTCCTTTCATCTGACTGGTAGAAAGTCTGGTTTTGATGAGTGCTCCACACACCACACCTGTGTTGGCAGCTGCTGCTAGAACTGAGACAAGTCTAAGTTGCAAGAGAAAACAGCAGAGCCTGTGGCTGGTGGAAGCCCCAAAGAAACCCTCAAAGTAGACCGTCACTCTGGAAGCTCCAGGAAGGCAAACTCAAGAGCTGCTTTTTTTTTTTGGTATTGGTAATTAAACTCAGGACCTTGCACTTGCAAGGTAGGCGCGGTGCCACTGAGCTAAATCCCTGGCCCTCAAGAGTTCCTTTGTGCATAGCTGTCTATTCATACTCAAGACCACTACATAAGAGGTCCTTGGAATGAATGAATCCTGGAGCTCTATTTGGGAAGGTAGACTATCTCAGTGGGAAAAGCCCCATGCTGCTTTCTGGGCCTTTATTTCCTGTTCCTTGGTAAGAAGACTATCTATTTTCATAGGTTAATGTAAGGACTGAATGACAGTGAACATGAAATGTTTAGAACAGAGCCCAGAACACAAGGAGTACCCAATCTTAGTTGTTTTATTGGTAGCAGCAGCTATTTATTACCTGGTTTTTCATGCAGAATTATTAACACCCCTGAGGGGGCAGACAGATCTTTGGATTCAGTTTCCTCCTCTGATGTCTCCTTCAAAGACATATGTGGTTACTTGTAGCACATGTGTTCCTAGCTCTGTCCTCTTTCAGTAACACTGAAATGCCTTACAAAGGTTAGTCTACCTGTCTCCCTCCCTCTTCTGCGGGAGGGCAAGTCCTCTGAAGGAACACGAATCTCTTGCTCACCTTGGTCTTATAGATACCTCTGCACACAGATCTGGGGGGAGAAATGGGATGTGAGGTGCTTCTAGCCCAGCTGACTGGGGATTGTGGTGCCTCCACCTCACGCTGCTACCATTTCTATGCAGTAGACCATGCCACACATGGTGGTTTTGAAAATAAGGAAAGGCCAACTAGACCTTAGAATAACAGGATAGGTTTTGGCAAAATCAATACATTCCCTAAGTATCCCCCCCAGTACTTATACATTAACATTTAATTTTCTCCATAGCACTAAGCACTTACAGAAGTTTGTTTACTTTCTACACCTTCTACCATGATTTAAACTGAGTAAGAGTCTGGCATAGTGGCACGTGCCTGTAATTCCAGCTACTTGGGAGGCTGAGGCAGGAGGATCACAAGTTCAAGCCCAGCCTGGGCAATCCTGTCTCAAAACAAAAGGGTAGGTAGGGATATACCTCAGCACTCCCTGGGTTCAATTCCCAGTACTGCAACAAGCAAAATTCTATAAGAGCAAATACTATATCTGCTTTATTCACCACTGTACATTCTTACCGCCTACAAGGATCTGGGCACATACAAGTCTCTTACACAAACACTTTTTTTTTTTTCCGGTACCGGGGATCAAACTCAGGTCCTTGAGCTTGCAAGGCAGGCAACGGAACCACTGGGCTAAATCCCCGGCCCTAAGTCTCTTAGCAAATGTGTTAAAAAAGAACTTAAGCCAAGCCAGGTGGCCCACACCTATAATCTTAGCACTCAGGAGGCTGAGGCAGGAGCATTGCTATGAGTTTGAGGCCAGCCTGGCCTACATAGTGAGTTCAAGGCCAGCCTGAACCACATATTGAGACCCTGTCTCAAAAAAAAAAAAAGAACACTGATGAATTGATGGACACACGTTCTTATTTTATTTTTAAAAACTTAGAGGGCTGCGGGTTTAGCTCAGTGGTTCCAGCGCCTGCTGCAACCTGTGCAAGGTCCTGAGTTCGATGCCCAGCACTCTCCCCCCCCAAAAAAGAGTCCCACAAAATCCTGACTCTAGCTACTCATAAAAACTTAGATTTTGGGTCAGGGATTTAGCTCAGTGGCACCGCACCTGCCTGACAGGTGCAAGGTCCTGAGTTTGATTCCCATACCAAAAAAAAAAAAAAAATTTGGCTTTTTAAAAAAAGGGCTAGACACAGTTTGTAATAGCTAAAGCTTGGAAACAGCCCAAGTGCCCATCAACTGGAAACTGGATAAAGAAGATGTGG